TTAGTCTTGGTTTTAAGAAATCCACTAGAGTTGCCGACTTAGTTGATGCCTTCTGGACAGTGATAAGGCAGTCATTATCTCTGAGTCTCGGTCACCAGTTTTGGTTCTCCTGGGACACCTGGTATACAAAGTTGATCACTAGGGAGGAGGTGGATTCTTTGCATCAGTAGCCCAGGTTTTCCTGAGTGTAAAGACCCAGTATTATCAGCTCCTCTGCCCCAAGATTTAAAGTTAGGAACATTAGTGTGGACTATGGTAGTTTCAGCTGAAGCCCAATAGCCGGGGAAGGAACCATCCCAGCCTTGGAGAACTAGGCTGGATACCAGGGTGCATGAATCCCGTGTAGGTGGGTTTGACTTGGCAAAGTCTGGGGCTAATGTTGGAAGCTCCTGCAGCCCCTTAGGCCAGGGAGAAAAGTCTGGACCTGGATGTAGAGTCCTGAGAGCTCAAGTACGAATCCCTTTTGTTGGTTTTCTAAGATGACATTGAGTGGGTGGAAGAAGCATGGCAGACCCTGTAGGCAGCAGAGCTCTCCCCACACGGGCATGGAAGCTGGAAGTTCTGCCCTTTTGGTCACAATTCTTAGGAAATTCTGGGAAAGGTAAAAACATCAAAAGGAAGATTTTATCTTCCTGACAATAAACCAGGTGGAGTTAATTACAAATTTAAAAGAAAAATTTTATAAGATATGACTTATAAATGTTTCTCAGATTTATGGATCAGGCTACAGTGATTGTAATTCATTTTAAATAAAGTTGATTTTTAAAATAATGGCTAGATTCAGCTGTTATAAGGTCCACCCTGGAGAGGGATTTTTGTCTACAGCTGGAGCAGAATTTTACAGGAGACTCTGACTGGCAGGGTCCAGCCATAGTAGCAGATAATGAACCCATTCCTCCACCCATTTAACAAATATTCAATGACATGTGCCAAGCAATGGGCAAAGTGCTAGAACACAGGGCAAACCTAGTTCCTGCCTTACAGAGCTTACAGTCTGAGAAAGGAAGAGATTAATTGAATAACTGCACAAGACAAAGGAGAGTACCTACAGAGCTCTGAAGTTTATGGTGAAGGTGTGTGACCTGGCCTGGTGGCGGTGGTTAGGAAAGCTTTACCTAGAGAGGTGACCCTGGAGGATAGGTAGGTAGAGATGGAAGGGAAATCACTCCAGGCAAAAGGAATAGCCTGTGCAAAGATCCTGTGGTGGAAGGGCATCTAGAAGAGTAAACAAGACTAAAAGAAGGACAGTGTGGGGAATTCCCTGGAGATCCAGTGGTTAGGGCTCTGTGCTTCCACTGCAGGAGGCACAGGTTCGATCCCTAGTTGGGGAACTAAGATCTGGCATGCCGTGTAGTGCAGCCAAAACAAAACAAGAAGAAGGAGAGGGAGAGGGAGAAGAAGGAGAGGGAGAGGGAGGGGGAGAAGAAGGAGGGGGAGGGGGAGGGTAGAGGAGGAGGGAGAGGAGGAGGAGGGGGAGGATGGTGTGGCTAAAGGAGAACAAGGCACAGATTGGAGAAGGTGAAGCTGAGAGATGCAGGGCAGAGCCTTGTGGGGCCCCATAGGCCACTTTAAGCCTTTGGAAGGTTTAAGGAATTGGAGGTGACATGATCACATTGTGTGTTTTGAACAGATTATTCTGCCTGTGGTGTCAAGTAATGGATTGGAGCGGGGTTGGAGTGGATGCAGAGACACAGATTGGAAGACAGTTGTAATATTTTATGCTAGAGATGGTGATTTGGGCCAGAGTAGTGGTGCTGGAGACAGAGGTGGAAAACTTGGAGAAATATCTAGGAGGGAAAATTCACAGGGCTTGGGGAAGGATGGGATGTGGCTGGGTGGAGGGTGGAAACGAGCAGTAAAGCTAAACACCAGGTTTCTGGCTCATGGAACAGGACAGATAGGTGGTCCCATCCACTGATACAGGGACTAGTGTCCCTCACCAGAGAAAGGAAACTGTGAGGAAAGGTGAGGCTCAGAGACACCCTTTGTATAGCTCTCTTCTACGTGGAAATTTTCCTTCGGGTGACCTTTGGAGGATCTGGGCTTTGGTTTGAATGAAACTGTTCTCTTACCCCAGGATTCAAGCATAATCTCCAGACCACTTGCATTAAAATCATCTGAGGTGTTTATTAAGAATTCAGATTTCTGGGCCCCAGAATAAACCTCATGAATCAGAATCCCTGGAGCAGAGGCCAAGAAGTCTGTATTTTAATAAACTCACTAAGGGGTTTGACTCCTATGCACGCTAATTATTTAGGACAATGACCTTCCATTTTTCTTCTTTCTGTACTTTTTCCATGCTCTCCTTGCCTCCACCCTTCTTGGGCCAGGAGTAGCCACGGGTTCCCAATGTTCTAAGTGCCGACCTCTAGTCTTCTTGATCCTTTGAGTTTGAGAAGGTTTGCAAGACAAGGGACTCCTGGGGCAGGACACAGAGGACTAACAAAGGAGCTGTTCATGTTAGCCATGAACACGTGAACCAGAAACTGCATAAGGCACTAGTGACATAACATGTATGAGAAAAAAGCAAGTCCTTCCCGCAAGGGGCTCCCAACAGTGGGGGTGACAGACACGAAAACATTCAAAATACAGTAAATGCGTATGTAGTATTTAGTAGGAGCCAGGTACTGTTCTAAGTGCTTTATATTTACTAATTCATCTAATCCTTACAACAACATTGCAAAATAGATTCTGCATGACAGTGGTGGTGATAAAAAGATGTACGGGGGCGGGGGGGGGGGGGCCTTCCCGGGCAGTCCAGGGGTTAAGAATCCGCACCCCCCCTGCAGGGGGCACAGGTTCAATGCCTGGTCAGGAAATGAAGATCCCACACGCCACGCAGTGTGGAAAAAAAAAAAAAAAAAAGATGTACAGGATGATGCCGAGGAGCCTGGGAAGAGAACACGAGGGGTTTCATGGAGGTAGCTATCAGATGAGCCACAAAAGATGAAAAAAAGTCAAGTCCAAGAGGCAAGAAGGACAGAGTATGCAGTATCCAGTATATGCAAAGCACAAAATATGAGACAACACAGCATATTTGGAAAATCCAAATCCAATTGAAGAGGAGGCATGATAAGTGCAAAGTGGCAAGGAATGTTGATGAAGAGGTAAACTTAGCCAGTTCATTAAAAATCCTTTTGCCATATTTTGGAATTCGGACTTTCTTTTGAAAGTAAGAGAGAGCTTTCAGTTAGGGATGATATGATCAGTTTTGCATTTCAGCAGGTTTATGATGAAAGCAACATGGAAAAGAAATTAGGAGTTGGGCTGGACGTGAGAAGACTAGAGTCTTCTCAATGTGAGAGACAGGGAACCTGAAATAAGATACAGTCAGTGAGAATGAAAAAAAAGGGGGGGAGGTTTAAAAGTTCTGTAGGAAGTAGAATTGATTAGACTTGGTGAGGGTTTAGATTTGGAGAAGAGAGAGGACAGAGTTAAGGGTGATGGTCTTGTTTTCTGACTCATGGGTAAAGAAAGGTGCCATGCACAGAAATACAGAGGCCAGGAGAAAGAGCAGAATTTAAAATGGAAGACAACTTCCAGTTTTCAGTCTGGCATGTAAGGAGCTTAAAAGTTCTCACTCTTGTCCTTATAAGAAGGATGAACAGAGAATCAAAGACCAAGAGAAAACCTTGAACAAAACTTGAGGGGTAGAAGGGGGGACATCTTACTTATAGAGGAGCAAGGATAAGAATTACTCCGGGGCAGTGGGGGAACTTCCCTAGTGGCGCAGTAGATAAGACTCCGCGCTCCCAGCGCAGGGGCCCCAGTTTTGATCCCTGGTCAGGGAACTAGATCCCACATGCATGCTGCAACTAGGAGTTCGCATGCCACAACTAAGGAGCCCGCCTGCCGCAACTAAGACCTGGAGCAACCAAATAAACATATAAATAAATAAATATTAAAAAAAGAATTACATCGGACTTCTCTTCAGAAACCATGCAAGATGAGAGTGCAGTGAAATGTTTAAAGTGTTGAGGGAACAAAAGCCCACCAACCTAGGCTTTTGTATCCAGCAAAATTATCTCTCAAAAGTGAAAGAGTAATACTTTATCAAACAAAAATTGAGGGAGTTTGTAGCCAGGAGACCTGACTTGCAAGATATGCTAAAAGAAATTCTTCAGAAAGAAGGAAAGTGACATAGGTCAGAAACTCAGATCTACATAAAGGCAGAACTTTAAGGAAAGAATAAATTAAGGTAAAAGTAAAAAGGAAGATAACTAGAATTTCGTAGATGTCCGATTTGGGTACTTTGGAACTTCCAGCTAGATGTCCCAAGGGCAGTCGAATGTGTGGCTCACCTCAGAAGACTGATCTTGAGTGGAGACAGGGAGGGATATAGGAGCCAGTATCTCTAAGAAAGGAGATGGCCCAAGGAAAGGGTAGTTTCACTAAATCCCTGTAAGGTAGTCAGAGCAGGTAATTAATTCAGTCAACAAAAAATATACACTGTGTGCCAAGGTTCTGTCCCTGGCAATGGAAATAAGGAGAGACATCAGGAAGGGTGACCAGGAGAAAGACAAGTAAAACGGTCAACTGTATTAGGGGGCTGACTGGAGTAAGCGCACAACAGAAATTCAAAAAAGGAAATCTATTTTATTTATTTTAGAACTACACGATTAAAAAAAAAGATATCAAACACAGAAAAGCACAAAAATTTCCTGCAGTCTCACCATCTAGAAAAAAACCAGATTAACAATCTGATGTATCTTTTCAAACTTTGAATTTTATTTTTTAAAGGCGGGCGCCCTCTCCCATTCTGTAAAAAAAAAAAAAGAGTTGAACTCTTACTGCAAGCGGCGCGCCGCCCGGGGAAGGCTTTGCAGGCGATGGTTTGGGCGCTGGGATTTAAGGAATCGTATTTGAGAGGGTGAAGACGATGGAGAGGGAAAGTGGCATAAGCCTCGCTTTACAGACTAGAAAGTCAAGACCTCAAAGAACGACGGGCCTTCTCTGCAGGCTCCGCGAAGAAATGCAAGGGCCGGAGGCGGGAAAGAGCCGGAGGCGGGAAAGGGCGGGAGGCGGGGCCCAGGTCCCCGGTCCCAGCTGCTCAGCAGCCGTCGGAAGCGCAGGACAGCTGGGTCGGGGCCCGGCAGCGGCGCCGGATCTGCCGGGGCGCGGCCTTATGACGCGCCGTGACGTCTCCCTTGTCTGGCGGCCCATTGGTTCTCCACTACCACCCTTCTCCCGGGTAGGGAAACTGGTCGCGGAGCCGGAAGCGAAGTAGCCTTTGAGTTCGAGACAGCGGCGGCGTTTAAGGCAGAACGACCTGTTGCCAGTGGAGCTGGCCAGCTTCTCCATTCAGGCTCCAGCCCGAGTTGGAGAAAACCCCGGGATTCCGGTGGCCCATGGGAGGGCGCAGTCTCGGATCGCGAACTATCCGGCGCAGACCGAAATAGCCGAGCCTGTGAGGGCCACCGGAAACCGCGCCCCTAGGAGGAGGCGGGAAGCCTTGCCAGAGGTAGGAACACAAAGGTACGGCTCCTGGGGTGGGGCCCGCCGGCCATGGCCACGCCCCCTGGGGCAGGTCCCGCCGCTCTTCGCTTCGTAGCCGCTGCCTGCTGGCAAGTCGTGCGCGGACGCTGCGTGGAGCATTTTCCGCGAGTATTGGAGTTTCTGCGATCCCTGCGCGCTGCTGCCCCCGGCTTGGTTCGGTACCGGCACCATGAACGCCTGTGTATGGGCCTAAAGGCCAAGGTATTGGAGTCAGTAGGACCCGGTAGAGGGGAAAGGGACGGGATGCGAGGACCTGTCCTGGGCCGACTGCTTGGGGGTGGAACCGGTTGGAAAAGGGCAGCTTGCCCGGACGTGGGGATTCTGAGCTCAGCACTCTTCACAGCTGGTGGTGGATATGATCCTGCAGGGCCGGCCTTGGGCCCAGGTTCTGAATGCCCTGCATCGCCACTTCCCAGAGTCTGGACCTGCAGTGCGGGACCCCAAAGCCGTGAGTCGTCCCTGGAGCAAGCCCTACCTCCACTTAACACGCGGTGCAACAAAGTTGTTCCTCCTCCCGGTCACTGGATTCTGGTGCCCCTAACTTGTTTGCCTTCCTTACCCTCAACAGACAAAGCAGGATCTGAGGAAGATCTCAGAGGCTCAGGAAACCTTTTGCCAGCAGGTGAAGCAGCTGGCAGAAGCCTCTGTTGATTTGGCTTCGAAGCTACAGGTGGGACTGGCTGCTTTGGAAGCTATGGTGTAGCTGTTCTCTCTAGTCCTCTTCTGACCTGCTTCCTTTTTTTTTTTTTTAACTTTTTAAAACATCTTTGTTGATATAAAATTTATATATCACACAATTTACCCATTCAAAATGTACAACTGAATCTTTTTTTAATTGAAGCATAGCTGATTTAGAATGTTGTATTGATTTCTGCTGTACAGCAAAGTGATTCAGTTATACATATGCATTCTTTTTTATATTCTTTTCCATATGGTTCATCACAAGATATTGAATATAGTTCCCTGTACTATACAGTAGGACCTTGTTGTTGACCCAATTTTAAATTAGTAATGCTTAATATAAATAACATTACTGATTTTAATCGAGAAGATTCATTCAGGCTTTTTTCTTCAATGTATAAATACTTTCATCAACAATGTACAACATAATTTATTTTTTTTATTTTTATTTTTTTTAACATCTTTATTGGAATATAATTGCTTTACAATGGTGTGTTGACCTGCTTCTTTTCCTCCCGCAGGAACTTGAACAAGAGTACGGGGAACTTTTTCTGGCTGCCATGGAAAAGCTGTTTTTTGAATACCTGTGTCAGCTGGAAAAAGCACTGCCTACACTGCAGGCACAGCAGGTTTTGCTAGGGCAAAACACATAAGGGCAGAATGCTGGGGTGGGGGGTAGGGGGTGGAGTTGTATCAACGCCTGTGGTCTTCATGCCTCTCTCCCTGCCCACAGCTTCAGGATGTGCTGACTTGGATGCAGCCTGGAGTTTCCATCACTTCTTCTTTTGTCTTGAGCCAATATGGTGTGGACATGGGGTGGCCACTTCCAGGTACCAGGACCATCTAGGAAAACTAAGAATTTGGGGGTGGAGTGTTTAGCTTGCGACCTTTTGAGGCAGCCTATTGGAAGGGTTACATGGGCCTGAGGCGTAAGAAACCAGACTGAGTCCATGTGTTACTATATTGCCTTTTTTTTTTTTTTTTTATGTCTTTACAATATTTATTTCATATTCCTTCTATATTGCCTTTTTAAAGAGATTTGTTTTCTTTCTCAGAGTGCTTTGCTACTGATTCAGTGAACACTACAGAGCCCATGGAGCAGAGTCCTCCTCAGCAACCAACACCAACACTCCACGACCCTCTGCCAAAAGCCCGGCCTGGCCCACACCCTCCTCAGGATCCAGCCTCAAGGAAGCACCCAGAACCTTTGACTGGCCACCATTTCAATCTGGCCCCTCTAGGCCGGCGAAGAATCCAGTCCCGGTGGGCATCCACTAGCAGAGGCCATAAGGAGCGCCCCACAGTCATGCTGTTCCCCTTTAGGAATCTGGGTTCACCAACGCAGGTCATATCTAAGCCTGGGAACAGCGAAGAACATGGGACACACACAGCAGATCCAGCAGGTGCTGTGGGCACCAGAGCAGCCTCGACTGGCAAGTCTAGGAGTCCGTCCAAGACCCTGGGAGGAAGGGCTCTGAAGGAGAACCCAAATGACTTGTCTGCCTCAGAGCAAAAGGAGTGAGTACAACAGTTGCTTCTCCCTACTAGCAGCACATGCCCTGCCTGCTTTCCTTTCACCCTGTCTTGCTTGCTCCCACCCTAGGAACTGCTTGGATTGCCCCATGGAACCCCTGAGATTGTCATTATCACCTCCTAGGGCCAGGAAGTCAGGTAGGTATCCTGAGTCAGGACCAGATCAGACAGCCTCCTCTCTTGGGGACTCTTGAGGTCCTGTGTTCACTGAGAAGAGTACCTGGACTCTGGTTTCCTCCCTGCAGTGCGTCCTCCATCTCTGTGCAGCTCTGACATTACTCTAGGGGACCTGGTTTTGGACTCCGACGAGGAAGAAAATGGCCAGAGGGAAGGAAGGGTGAGTAGGAAGGAATGGAAAGCTGGGGAAGGGGATGGGCGGGCAGAACAAGATAGAAAGCCATATGATGCAGGATATGGAGGGCTCAGGGCATGTTTCAGTGATGATAGGATCTCCCTGCTCCCTTCTCTGCAGGACTCTCTGGAAAACTATCAGAAGACAAAGTTTGACACCCTGATCCCCACCTTCTGTGAATACCTCCCCGCTTCTGGCCCCAGTGGTGTATCTGTCCCTCTTCCTAACCATACAGACAGTTCTAGACTGCTGTGATTAGACTGGAATGCCCACGGCACTCTGCCTGTCTCCTTCCTCCTCAGCTCTCACACAGTTTAGGGGTAATAAAGTGGAAGTCCAGGCTTGGGTTGCCTGACTATATTGCTAAAGTTACTTTGTAATACTTAATAATTAAATTTTGGATTTGTTAAAACACTGTCTTCGTTTGAGGGAGGGGAATTAAGGCTTCTATAAGGTCAGTGTAGGTCATTCCTTAGAAACAGAACCGGCCTCTCCAGGGCTGGAAGGGGATCCCTTTGCCACTTTACTTCCCTTGGAGAGTGTCGTTCAGACATGCCCAAAAGGGTTACCAGGGCTGAGAGCCTAGAAGAGAAATTTCCTTTTGCTATTCTGAAAATACTGTGTGTGGTCTGATGCCAGAATATACTTGTAAATGCTCATGCTGCCAGGTTACTTGGGGGTGGTGGCACTAGAATGGAGATGCTTCATGGAAAGGGCACTCACTGTCCTTGACTCCACTGGGTCAGTGCCAACTCCTCCACTTGCCCTGCAGCAGCACCCAGATGCCATCCTTGTGCAGAAATCCCCAGAATCTCAAAGTCATTGGGATCTCTCTTTATTGAGGTATTTAAAATACATAAACACTTCTGAGCTTTGTAGATATTCAAAGATCTATTTAATGAATCTGATTAACAAAACATGATTCTAAAAGCCTACCTCTTCCAGACCAAGGCCATATAAAACACTTATGTATGAATGAGCATCTTTTCCTTTTAATAATCTTCAGGATTCTGGGTCCCCAGATTCCCATTTGATTATCTTAACTTTATTTTCTCAGCCTGCCTTCCTTGCTTCCTCCCCAGTGGGTGCCCTGGGCATTTTGCATGTGCAGATAAAGTACAGAATACTGCAGGAGCCCTTAGCAGACAGAGGATAGGAAATGACCAAGTAATAGCCCTAGTAGCTGGGATGGGAGAGGGGCCCTCTGGGGAGCCCTGTGGTGGGTGCTGGCGCCCTGGGAGGGCAGAACTGCTCAGGTCTAGCTCTTGTCACTGAAGATCGGATTCACCTGCTGGGTGACACGGATGAAGGTAGTTCTCCGGCTCAGCTCCTTCAGCTTAGCTGCTCCCACGTAGGTACAGGTGGAGCGGATGCCTCCAAGAATGTCTCGGATAGTGTGTTCCACATCCCCTTTAAAGGGCATCTCCACTGTCTTTCCCTCTGAGGCCCTTAGAAGAGGAAAAGCTTTCTTACCTTTTCTGTCTGGATTTCTTAAGCCCAATGACTCTTCCCCAATCTCTAGCATTTAGTCCCTGTTCATCACTTTTCTTCCAAGTTCCGCCACCACCTTACTTGGGAAGTCACGCTTTCCAAGAACCCTCAGCTTCTGGCCTCCACACCTACCTGTACTCAGCCACGCCCCCGGCATACTTCTTCATGGCCATTTCAGAACTCATGCCATAGAAGAGCTTGTACTTCTTGCCATCCCTCTCGATGAGCTCACCACCTGACTCGCTGTGCCCAGCCAGCATGCCACCCAGCATCACGAAGTCAGCCCCTGCCCCTGCCAGCACCAACAAGAGGGGAAAGAGATGAATCTGGCCCAGGTTCCAACATGGTCACCCTCAGAAGCAACTTACACAAAATTCTCAGGCCTGCCAATGATTCTGGCATCTTCCTGGTTTTGTTTCCCTAGCTGGCCCACAACCCAGTGCACAGGCCTACTCTGCCCTGGCTTCTGTTCCTCAGTGGACTTTACAAGAATTTAAAATAGAGCCTCTGGAGACGCTCTGCCTGGCTTCTGCTCTCTCCTTTTTGCTGCTTTCGCCATCTCCTGGTCACCTCTTTTTACTCTGCCCAGCCGAACAAGACTCACTTCAAGTGTCCCAAGAGCAAAGCTCTCCAACTTCAGTGTGTACAAGGATCACCTAGGAAGCTGGGAAAATGCAGATCTGTAGCCCCACTCCCCAGAGCCAGATGCCATGGGTCCAGGGTGGGGCTCGGCATCTGCACTGTCCCGCAGTCCAGGGGATGATGCAGATGGCCCTGGCCCACATTAGGAGAGTCCACATCAGAGTCTCAGGATTTCCCCTGCTGGTTTGCCCCAGATGACACCACAGGCTTCTGGGTCACTAGTCATATTATAAAAGAATCTGAGAAGCTTTCTTAGACTTCCCTAGCCTGATCCTAGACCCTCAGAGGTGACTTATCCTCTTCTACAGGATCCTCCTTCTGTGCCCTCCTTACCGAAAGCCTTGGCCACATCCCCGGGACAGTTGCAGCCTCCATCCTGCAAAGTAAGGAGCACTATGAAGGGAGAGTATGGATGCCCCAAGCCCTCTAGGAGGTCCCAGTGGCCCACCTCAAAGCTGACAGGAACCCAGGAGTCCTGATCCACCTCTACCAGAGCCTCCAGACCTGGCAGAGAACCCAGATGTCTGGCAGCCTCATACCCTACCCTGCTCTTGGCCTTACGGAAATGATGTGGCCTTTGAGGCCATGGGCAGCATCTGCGCACTCCATCACTGCACTCAGCTGTGGATACCCAACTCCGGTCTTCTTCCGGGTGGTACACACAGAGCCTGAGAAGAACGTGACAAGAATGAGAGGGAAGTTCTCCACAGGTGTCTGCCACTGAAGCGGTGGCCAGTGGCCCCCAGTGAACCAGCTTACCTGGTCCAATTCCCACTTTGATGATGTCAGCCCCAGAGAGAATCAGCTCTTCCACCATCTCTCCTGTTACCACATTCCCTGCCTGGGACAGAACCATCAAAACAGAGCATTCTTAGGGTCAGAAAGAGCCGATCGCATGCGTCCAGCATTATTACAAAGAAGAGTACCTCGGTTCCCTCTACTTGGGCCTTCTGAGGGCTTTTAGACGAGTCACTTCAAAGGACCCTGCTTTCCAAGCTGAGGTAAGGGGGTGAGTGGCCAGTGTCACCGTTTTACTAGGGTAAAGCGGGGGTCCAACTGGAACAAGCTCACATCTGATTTACAGTAGATTTATCTCCCCCTCCCCTCCAAAAGACCCAAGCACATCCTTTGCTTAAGCTGTTATGTCATGAAACCTCTCTGGCTTCAGGGAAAGGGGGAGGACATGGTAATGTCAGCTAAATACCCATCTACACAATTGTATTTGCTTTTGATGGACAGAACAGAGAGACCACTCAATGCTGCGAAGAAAGTGAGGCGTTGTCCTAACTCCCCTGAGCTTGTAAAAATAAAATAAAACAACATTTCATGCATCCCCTTCAATATGACTGTAGTATCTCTCCATACCTTTGGGCAGGTGTGTATGTACTAGAGGTATGTACGATGCAGAAATGTTCCATTGTGGTTTAGTGAGTGATGTCGGACACTGGATTTACAAAGACTAGGTATCAAGGTTCGGAGAAGACGGCACTGGCCAGTACACAAACATTTAAAGCATGGAACCATGGATCATCACCCAGTGACATGATTAAGCGGACTAGGAAATGCAGCAGAGGAGAAAGGAACTGGTGTAACAAAATGGTGGGGCGGGAAAGAGTGGAGGAAGGAGAGGAATGGACCCACTACAGGGTAGTAGAGACATACCATGATGGTGTGTTCAGGGAAGCGCTTCCGCACATCCTTTACAAATTCAACAAAGTGTTCAGAGTAGCCATTGGCCACGTCCACGCATATATATTTCACCTGGGGAATAGCGTCCAGGATCTGTCCCAGCTGCTCAAAGTCAGCAGAGCTTGTGCCTGAGCTGGCAGCCAGATGCTGTGAGAGAAACAGGGCCATTAGCATGTAAGAAATGACCTGGTTGGTTAGCCAACAGGGGTGGGAAGGTAAGGGCTGGTCCCCAGGAAGCCACACAAAGATTCCCGGAAGACTGGGCTAAGGAGTGGATCAGGGGAGGACCAGTGTTACCTCAAGACAGTCAGGATTCTGGCTAGCAAACTCTTTCCACTGCTCGAGGCTGTAGTGCTTATGGACAGCAGTGAAGAGGGAGAACTGGGAGAAGAAAGAACCATCAAAAAGGAGGGAACTTCATTAAGAGTCTCTTTTTCTAAAAATAGACCTTTATATTATCCTATCTGAGGGACAAAAGGACTGAAGTCTGGAAAGAGCAACTTGAAGAAGTCAGTGGTTGAGCTCAAACCTCAGTTCCACCATTATTCTCTCTACAAATGCAGTCGGGCTTTTCCCCATAAGCTAGTACTTGCCCAACACTCCCACCAAAGTACTAAAGTCACCTGGATTGGATTTCACCTGCCAGCACGTACAGCGCTTCTGAGTTAAAAGGTGACAAGGACAAGCTGTTGGTGCAGTGGGACAAGCAGTAGACAAGAAAGAACCATGAAGAGGCTGGACGGAGCCAGTGTCTGCCTGCACTGATTCAGCCCCTCCTATGATAACCTCGTACAGAGCTAACCTACTTGCGGTATCTTCTGGTCCATTTACCAGCAGTAATTCAGTAAGCCTAAATGCTCACAAAATTACAAGAGGTAAGGCCTTAAGGTTAACAGTCAATAAGGTGCTACCCTTTCTCCATCTCTGCTAAAGTAAAGGACAAATTTTCTTGAGACATGGACCAACCTGAAAAGTCTATCTCATTTAGTCTGTTTCAGTCAACCAAGTTCAAGAATATAATGACTCATCAGACTTGTATTTCCTAGCACAACAAATTGCAAATAATGTCCCAATACTTTGAGAAAGGCATTCAAAGGCCACTTGTGAATGCTGGTGTTTGTGATTTAAAAGTGCAGACATGCAAATAGACAAGACAGCACAAATCTTGCAACAGACGAGAGACCCAAGGAAGTCAAGCATCAGCCAGCAGTAAGGAAGTGCAAATGCTATAATACTCAGAGATCATCATCAACACTACCTAGCTAACGCTGGTACAGAACTGTGCTTTCTCAGCAACACTCTGCCATCCACATGCTAATAGACAAAAATCACTCTAGGAGGTCAGCAGACCTTGGAGATATACTGGCATAGGGTGGCATGATGAGCATATCCAATTACATACCAAGCTAGAGATCTAGAAAAAGATCCTTGCTTGCATCCAACCTTTTAATTATTACTGAGACTTGGCTGTATCTCTAAAATCTGATTTCTTCAGCACTCAGCAGTAATGAAAAGCCAGTCTCAACATAAAGTATCAAGACAGTCCCGGCAAGGTCCATACATTATAGGACATTTGTTAACACTGAAGTCAGATTCACCATTCCTTAACTCAATTGGACAGGCCAGGTGGACAACGGGCAACAGTGGGATTCCTAAGCAGTTGGTAAATGGCAATAGTAATACAGTACTAAAGCTGCATAGCTATGAACCTCAGAGAAATGATAGCAGACATTCCACAAAGACTTACAGCAATCAAAAATAGAGAAAGAGAGATGAAGTCCTTAAGGCTGACAGAGCCACAAGCAGCAGCAGAATCCATCAACCAGGGCTACCTGGATTAACCAGAAGAGTGCATATGTCCTCAGGATGCCCAAACTATCTAGCTTCTCAGCTACAAATACAGAGACAGGTAATATTACTGAAAGGAGCAGCAGCTTCCATTTTGAAAATGAGCAATAACCTGTATATAAGAAAAATACATTCCATTTTGGGCACATCCCAGAAACACCCAGGAACCTAGAACTTAAAGAAGAGGAAGATTAAAAAAAAAAAAAAAAAAAACAGGCATGAAAGAAAATAAACTTCTTCTCTTTAGGATCTTCTAGTTAGGAATTTTTGAATGCTCAAACTATATCTAGTTTCTGGACTAAAACAGTGAATGCTGAGCATCCTAACAATAGTGTAAAGAGGGATGCCGGTGATTTGGAGAGGGTGATCTGGGTGGTGGGAAAAGTTGGCAGGATGTATAAACTGCTGGACAGGAGAAAAGGGAAAGTTCTGTTAAAATGGGGGCAAAATTTAGCTTTGAATCTCATTAACTCAGATGGCCCTTTAAAGTTATCAGATAAAGGGGCCTTAATACTACTGCAAAAACAGAAATTGAGCATCCTGACTGTTAACTGCCAGAGTTGACCTGGGATGGGGGTGGGGATGCAGATACCTCTGCAGTCAGCCCACAAAACTGGACACCATGAGGAAGGGGTATGAGGGAAGTCCTACCTTACAGAGAACCTTGGCTATCTCAAAGGTGCCTACAGTATCCATATTGGCTGCAATGATGGGGATCCCAGTGTACATCTGCTTTGAGTTCCGAAATGAAAAGGATCTTGTGAGATCCACCTGCAGATATGAACAGGAAACTAAGCATTTCATTTATCCAAAAAACAAGTATTGCAGGAGGGCAAAAGCCAGGAATCTTTCCCAGTCCTGGCCCTCCAGGAGCTTGGGATCAAGAAAGAGCAACTAGAGAAGCAGGCTCACCTCACTTCGAGACTTAAGGGTACTGCGTTTGGGCCTCAACAGGACATCCTTGAAGTCCAGTTTGACGTCGTTGTCGATGTGAGGCATGGCAGGCACCTAAGGGTAGCAGCGAATCTGAGAGCTGGAAGGTAGGAAAAGTCAGGAGGCGGTAGCTGAGCCAATTTTCCCTTAGAACTTAATGTTCTGTTAGGGCTGGCGGGCTCATCTCTCTCCTCGCTTAAATTGTGGAAGGTCAGGGCATTGATCGAGGCATAGTCCCTGAAGACCGTCACCTCAGACTCGGGTGGTTTCACTTACTCTCGGTGTCTTCAACCTAGATACTATTTGTTGGGGAGAAGAACTGGGATGGAGTCGTGAGAGACCCTAAATGGTGCGTTCCTTACCCCACTACTCTTCTTTCTCCCGCCCCTGCAAAGAGCAGTTTGGGGTAAGAGGCAGATTTGGGAGTGAGAAGGAGTGGTGGGATCCCCAAACCAGCTTCCGGAATAGGGGTACTCACTTCCTGTCGCCGGGGCCAGGTGGCAGTTGACCGAAGCTCCTCTTGATTAGCCACTAACCTCGCGCAGCCCCGCTGAGCCTTGTGGGCAGCGCTAACAGGTTCCGCTAATTGCCGGGGAGAACGAGTAACCGAGGAATTCCAGCTTCGGTGCTGGAGGCCTTCTGGGTAACAGAGTTCACACACTGAGGATGCCGCTGGATCTGAGGGGCAGGGAACTATAACTCCCAGGGTGGGACGCGCGGAGCTGCCCCCTGGCATGATGGGAGGAGTCGTTCGTTCCGCCCCCGCTGTATACTAGCCCCGGCTTGCTGGGGACTCTCAGAATTGCAGGGGCGTCATCTCTGCTGTAACTAGGCGGGCCGCCTCCTTTTTTTTTTTTTTTTTACGACGCCACAGAAACGAAACGCGGACGCATTCCTGAGCCTTTCCGGAACCCCGTGGAAAGAAGGAGGAGGAGCGAGGTGCGGGGTGGGGGGTGGGGGGGGTGGAGCCAGGCAGTGACCCGGAAGCAGAAGTGACTCCCACAGGCTGAGTGCTGGGGAGCTGCATCGGCGATCGCAGCGGTAGAAGCAGCAATTTATCTGTGTGCAGCCCCAAACTGGGAAGAAGATGCTAATTAAAGTGAAGGTGGGAGCACCTCCAGCCTTGCCAAGACGCAGTGGTACTGGGCTGGCCGCTGTGCGTTAAGGGAGAAGCCGGGAAGGAAAATCACGCCTTTCCCGAGCTTGGAGGGGGCTGACAGCCTCGGGGCTCCGCGCGAGGGTTGATGGGATGTAGGGGGGGTCCCCAAAAGGGCTTCGAGAGCAGGGGCTGGCCCAGCCAGACGACCCCGGGGTCTGTGCTGTGCCTGCTTTCATTCCGGGACCGTTCTTTGACCCAGAAGGAGGCCGCCTTTGTCCGGGGTCTCGCTGTGTTCGAACCCCCGCGGTCATAGAGAAGGCCTAGCAGCATCTTGGCCCCCCTCTCTCTCGGATTCTTGGAATAAGCTCTGTTCTCCATCGTTCATGCCCCAGTTACCTGCTTCTCCCAGCCCCTAACGTAGGCTACTCCGAGTACAGCACAAAAACGTAGCCTAGGGAACCGGGGCCTCCCAGGAACTAGACTGTGAGCTTTTGCTAGTTGTCGCCAAGGTGTAGTATCTCAGCCGGCCTTCAGGAAACAAAGCTGGGAGCGTGTTCAGTTAGCACCTGCATTTCTGAGCCAGCATCCTGGACCAGCCTCCCTTCCTTGACTGAGGCAAGTTAGTTATCAGTGCCCTAGTTCTTGGTACTAGCAGTGTTTCCTTCATCTCCATCCCGCCTCCTGTGGTTCTTCACCAGTTTCCAACCCTCATTAGTTCTATCTGCTATTTCCTCCTTTGTGCCTTAAGAGGGAGGGACAAAAACTAACAATTGATGCAGTGCAACGTTAGTTTAGCATTTAAAAATAAAAAACTGCCAAGGAAGTCTATCGTTATTTCATCAGCTCTTTAGTGTATTTATCATGCATAATAGCCATTAACCTCTTCAGTCCTTCTGAACCACCATCTTAGCTAAGGATTGAGGTCAAGCAGCATGTTGAAGGTCATTGTTTTTCAAATTTTGAGTAATGAGCTATAAAACAGTCACTAGTGGTAAAATCAGTTTAATAAGTCCGTGGGTCACAAGCAACAAGAAAAAGAAAAAAACAGAGATATCAGGGTATACTTCTGGATAAGAGGATTGTGTGTGAAATTTGGGGTTTTATTTTGTATGTATATTACATGCATGGATGTGATGTTTGTTCATATGTATTTCTTAGTGTGGGTCACTGTCCAAAAAGTCTTGAGAAACATTAGCAAGTGAATGCTTATGTCATTTCCATACATATGGATTCTCAGGTTCTCTTAGTCCTCCCTTAGTCCAAAGAAGAGGTTATTACTATACTTTTGTTCAGTGTTTTGTAAACCTTTTTTTAAATCTCAACCTACACAAAAAAATTTTACCTCATGGTCCCATACAACACAAAATAACTGTGTGTGATATGCTCTGGTATTTTGAATTCTATTCCAAGTTGATTTCATAACCCACTGATGGGTTGAGACCTGCAGTTTAAGAAAATACTGTATTCTAGATGGGCTTCTCAACTTAAAAATGTGTAAGAATCACCTGGGGATCTTGTTAAAATGCTGATTCTAATTCAGTGGTCTGGGACGGAACCCGAGATTCTGCATTTCTAACATTCTGCATTTCTGCTTGTCTGGGGAGTATACAAGGTTCTACTTTCTTTGAATCCATTTGTATTTAGTACTTCTCTAAAACTGTCAGGCTCCTTTCCCAAAACACTTTCCTTTCCACCTTCAAATAGGTTTCTCTGTCCATCTTTCTCTTTCTTTTTTGTATGTTAAATACATTTTTGTATGTTAAATAAATAAAGCAATTAGCTGTGAACTACTATACAAATGATAGGTTTTTTAGCAGGGTTCCTTTGTGAATTATTCATTCTCCACTGTCCTTCTCCATGTAGGTAACTTATTCCATATCTCTTTTTGCAATCTTTTACAACTAAATCCCTTGTCCACGGAAGGAAAAACACACAACATAAGAGCTGTGAGTTCAGTTTATTTGGGGACTTACTGAGGACCTTAGCCCAGGAGACAGCCTCTTAGATAGCACTGAGGAACTGCTCCAAAGGTAAGTGGGGGAGGTCAGCATGTATGTGATTTTGGCAAAGGGTAATCAAGCACACATCTCGGTAGAAGGTTGCTGCTAGTCAAGAGGAACAGATATCTTAGTTAATGGTTTTAGTGCTTTTCTAAGTATGGGAAGATGCAAGAATTTGGGTTCATAAAATTTTCTCCTGAAAATATCTAACTATTTAAAGGCGTGTTCTATTAATTTTCCCAGAGCACATTCCTGATGTGCCTCATTCCTGTCTCCCCCTTGAACTCCTTTCAGGCTGGGTTGAAAGTCAGCGACTGCAGTGGCTAATGACTTAATTCTTGTAGAACCAGGAGGCAAGTGACATCCTTTAGTTGGCACACTCGTGATTTAAAACTTCTCTTGATGCCTCATCTCTGTGTTTCCAAAATTAAATACAGCATCTTCTGTCTTAAGCCATCTTCCCAATACTCATCTCATATATTGATCCCATCAATCTACCAGTTACCTGGAACCCAGTTCTTTAAAATCATTGTTCTCTTATAGAACCTAATTTTTCTTTTGATACATCTTTCTATTCCCATTACCCTTGTTCTCATCTGGGGTCTCATTAACTTATATCTTTATTTCTCTGTGATACCTCCAGAGAAATACCTCTTGTTGGGATACCTCCAACAAGATTTCCTACTGCCATTCCCCTCTAAAGTTTAGAGTCTAGGGACTTCCCTGGTGGTCCAATGGTTAAGACTTCACCTTCCAGTGTAGGGGGTGTGGGTTCAATCCCAAAACATAAAACAGAAACAATATTGTAACAAATTCAATAAAGACTTTAAAAAATGGTCTACATCAAAAAATTCTTAAAAAAAATAAAGTATATGTATTTTTTAAAAATAATAATAAAGTTTAGAGTCTATACCAAAATACGGTGTACAAAATCATAGTGTACAGGTCTTCTTTAACCTTCTTTTTCATCATATTATTCCCTAACCTCAGATCCTGCATTGATTCCTCTTAGCAAGTTACTTTGGGCACCTGTCTTTACTATCTAAGCCCCAGTTTTCTCATTCATGCTTTTTTAAACGTAAAATAAAACACAAAGCTCTTAAGGGTTAAGTTCAAGGAGTTTTTAACAACAGTATACCCCCATGTAGCCACAGATCTAGAACATTTTCACCCCTGCCCTCTGAAAGTTCCATAGGTTAGTTTTACTTGTTTTAGAATTTCATATAATGGAATTATAGAATATATTATTTTTGTGTCTGGCTTCTTTCACTCAGCATTGTCTGTTGTTGTGTCTGTAGCTCCTTCTTATTACTTGGTAATACTACATTAGATGACTGTATCACAATTTGTTTATCCATTCTCCCGTTGATGGACGTTTGGGTTATTTCCAGTTTCTGGCTATTATGAAGGAGGCTTCTAATAGCCAGAAATGATGATATGAACATTGTCTTTTTGTGGACTTATGTTTTCATTTCCTTTGGATAAATACCTAGGAATGGAATTACTAGGTCATGTATAACTTTAAAAGATGCTGCCAAACAGATCTGCAAAGTATGGCACCATTTTACATCCCTACTTACAATGAGTGAGCATTCCAGCTACTCTGCACCCATCTTTATTATAGCTATTTTAGTGGGTGTGAAGTGTTATCTCAGGTTTAAATTAATCACTTGATTTTCCCTCACCACGGCACTGTCACTGCCTCTTGTATTTTGGACGATAACATTCAGTATGGCATTTCTTGTGCATTGGTTTGTTCTATTAATTGTATGTCTCAGTGTCTCTTGGTTGTAAATCTTCACTTGAAAGAGATTGTTGGCAAGGGCTGGGTCACTTAATTTCTTTTATATCCCCTACAGTGCTTATAGCAGAATGTCAGGCTGAGGTTCATCATAGACTAGCTGAATAGCAGTGAATGTATTCCCAGGTCACAATGACCAGATTTGAGGGAAGAAATCCAGTATGACATGGTCTTTTAAAATATCTTTTAAAGTTAAAATCAAGAATATCTTTTAAAATTGTTCAGTTTTAAATGATTTTAATTATGACAATTTCAGACATATACAACAGCAGAGAAAAGGAATAATGCACCCCATACGAAGCTTCAAAAACGATCATCTCATGGCCAATCTTATTTTATTTATACTCACCAACTTACCTTATGTTTTAAGGAGCAAGTCCCAGATAGCGTAGCGTATACTATTGGTATATATTTCGGTATTTATCTGTAAAAAAGAACTTTTTTTACTAACATAACCATAATTATTACACCTAAAAAATCAACAGTGATTTCACACTATCATTGTCTCATTTGTTTTTTACAATTTGTTGGAATCTGGATCCAACTAAGATTCATACATTGTAGTTGGTTGATAAGTATTTTAGGCCTCTTTAAACCTGTAATTCCCCATTTCGCCCATTTTTTTTCTTGTTGAATAATCTAGGTGGTTGTTCCGGTAGAGTTTCCTATAGTTTGAATTTTGCTGATTACATTCCCATGCTGTCTTTTAATATATTCCTCTTTCCTCTGTATTTCCTGTCAATTGGTAATAAGATCGAGAGGCTTGATTTGTCCTTTTTGTCTGTTCATGTGTGAGAATAATTCATAGGTGGTATTGTGACATGCTTCTGTCAGGTTGTTTTGCTTTCTGCGATGTTAATCATTGCCTAGATCCATTATTTCATTGGAGTTTACAAAATGGGGATATTCTGATTTTATTGTTGCTTCCTACATTAGCTGGGATCCTTGAGCAGTGTCCAGTACAGTGGCCATTTGCCCACGTGCACTATTGACCACGAGAAATGTGGCTAGTGAGACTGAGGAATTCATTTGTTTTATTTGTATTTAATTTTAATTAATTTAATATAAGAACTGAAACTTTATTCAGTAGTTGCAAAACCTTTTAACTTGTTTGGAACAAGTTGGGAATGTAAACATACTTTTTAAACTGTAAATTGTGAAACTTAAATACAGATCAAGTATTTCAGATGATAACTTATCATCTGAATTGAGGTGTGCTGTCAGTATGAAATGCACACAGAATTTTGAAGATTTAGAAGAAAATGTAAAATATATTAATAATTTGAATATATTGGGTTTCAGAATATTAAAATTAATTTCACCTTTTAAAAATGTGGCTGCTAGAATATTTAATATTGTATATGTGGCTTTCACTAAGTTTCTATCTCTAGTGGACAGTGCTGCTTTACAGAATGGTTTCCTTATACTCTCATCAAGGACATTGTTTTAAATTTTTTTTCTCATCCCAATGTATTCATGGTATTAAAAAATGGAAAATACAAAAAAGCACAAAGAAAATAATTTAAATCACCCATAATCTCAAAACTCAAGATAAAAGCACTGATGTCTACATCCTTCCAAACTTTTTTGAAAGCATATAAATACACGTATGTGTGTGTGTATTTCTTTAGTTACAAAATAAGAATTATACTGTTAGTCTAAACATTGTTTGAGAACTGTGTGATTTTTCCCCCTGTGTTTGTACCATAATTTATTTAACCCTCAATTGTGTGATATTTAGATTGTGTTTCTAGTTTTTCAGTTTCAAAAAGTTGCAATTCATTGTCATAGGTATATTTTTGGACAGAGGATTATTTTCCCAGAAGTGTTATTGCTGGGACACCATATGCCAGATTGCTCTCTGGATACATTCATAGGCTTCTATAGTCGATCTCAGAAACAAAGGACCAGTGCTAGAGTTTTAGATTTTATAAACCAATAATTTTTTTCAAATGTCATAAAGCCCAAGCATCTGACTCTTGGGAGAGCAGTTCTAGGCTTTCTGTTAGAGTCTTTTGTACTCTTTAAAAATTGTTATTATTAAATCAGAATGAATATTTATTAATATTCATGTGATAAAGGAATATATTTTTATTAGATATTTTATTAGATAGTACAGATAAAGGGAGAGTTAGCTTTGGTCTCCTCAATCCTACTCCCCTTCTCAAGGATCATCATAATTTTAGGAGATAGGTATACTTTTAATCCTTTCTTCTATGCATGTATGTATGTATATATTTACATATAGAAAATGATACATAATCATACATTCTCTAGATCTTTCCATGTTAGTGTATAAACTGTTGCATAATAAATATATCATTCTAGGGCTTCCCTGGTGGCGCAGTGGTTGAGAGTCCGCCTGCCGATGCAGGGGACACGGGTTCTTGCCCCGGTCTGGGAAGATCCCACATGCCGTGGAGCGGCTGGGCCCGTGAGCCATGGCCACTGAGCCTGCGCGTCCGGAGCCTGTGCTCCGCAGCAGGAGAGGCCACAACAGTGAGAGGCCTGCGTACAGGAAAAAAAAAAAAAAAAAATGTATATATAGATATATATATATATAATTCTATGGCTGTACCATAGTTTAATAGTTTTCCTATTAATAGGCATTAGGCTGTTTCTTGTGTTTTGCTTTTATGAAAGGTGTTGCAGTAAACCTCACATGTTCCTCTTTGAATACGTACTCAAATTTCAAGTTTTTCCTTAAGGTTAGTTATCTAGAAATAGAATTGTCTGGTTAAAGAGTCTTTGCATTTAAAGTATTATGATCAATAAATTGAGATAATTTGTGGACAACATGGTATTGCATACTTTTCATTTTGTCAGGAAGGAGCCTAAAGAAATACCATATATTGTCACTGGCGTTTCATAAAAGGACATTTTAACACCTGAAAATATTTAGTTTCATGAAAATCTCATTGTTGTCATTATTTTTCTCATTTTACCATAGACTATTGAAAATTTTCCAACAGACCAGCTTGAGTTGGGGTGGAAACTTGAAAATCACTGTTGTAATTTATTCTTTTGCATCCAAACAGGTCAATCCAAAGGAGTTACTCTTGCATTTTTTGAAATATCCTTAGTAGTGAACCATTCTCATGGTTGAGAAGTTAGATCCTAAGTACTTTCTTCATGCTGGTCTTTGTGAATATCATAAGTAGGAACCATATGTTATTTTGTGAGTCCACCACAGGAGTGTACATTGGGTCTCAATACTAGATCAGCCAGACTTGGGCAGTACTGAGTACAGAGCTGAAAGCTCAGGTTCTGGGGCCAGAGAGTTTGTGTTTGGATTCATACTCTCCTTTTGACTTCATAGGCATGCTTTTTAACCTGTCCAAACCCCATTTTCCTCAACTATAAATGGTGATAGTAATAGTACATATCTCACAAGTACTTGCAAGTATTAAATGTATTGACGCATGTAAGATACTCAGTGTAGTTTCTAACTCTTGGAAAGTGTTCAGTAAATGTTGGCTGTGATCATAGCATGATCATTGGTGTATTTAGCTGTTCCACCAATATTTATTGACTGCTTCTATGTCAAACACTGTGCTTTGTGCTTAAATTAGGAAGATTGAACAGTCTCTGTCCTTTAGGGAGCTGGAGTATAAATTGGAGAGTTTGACACTTAAACAACTAGCTGTAATGGCTCTTAAAGTGTACTGGGGACAAGTCATCAATCTTAAAGTGTCCCTTGAAGGTTTGCAAAAGAGCGGAAGAGGGCATGGCAACAAGAAAAACAGTAGAAGCAAGGAAAATGCCCCTAAATTATGGATTACTGTAGACTGGTGCAGATGGAGTTTGAAGAGCAAGGATGGATGGGAGATTAGATTGGATGAAGCACGTTTATAAGTGTACAATGAGTATAATTATTGTTTGAATATCAGCAGCCCTTTGTCTATAGAAGAAGTCAAGAAGACCAGAGCTGCAATTTAGGATTTAGGTGGAAGTCTGGAGAAGATACGGGAGAATAGAATGTTGAATTCTAGTATTACTTAAAAAGTTGGTCAGGGACTTCCCTGGTGGTGCAGTGGTTAAGACTCTGTGCTCCCAATGCAGGGGACCTGGGTTCAATCCCTGGTCAGGGAACTAGATCCCACATGCATGCTGCAACTAAGGGTTCACATGCCACAACTGAGGAGCCCTCGAGCCACAACTAAAGAGCCCTCCTGCCACAACTAAGACCTGGCGCAACCAAATAAATAAATAAATAAATATTAAAAAAAAAAAAAAAAGTTGGTCAGAGGTGATCTCCAGTGTCCCTGAGAGAATTCTTTGAGTTATCTGAATGTTAATTTCTAGCATTGGTACATGAGATAAGGTCCTTCTCAAAGGAATACTTTCCTTAGGACAATTCTCATTGCTGTCTTATCGAAAGGAGTTATGGTATTCTCTTGGATTCTAGCAGAATGGGAGGTGAGATGACCTGTGAGATTAAAAGGGTCAAATGGTTTACAGAATCTTCCCCTATCAAAGTTGTTCACAGCCTAAAAATGTCTGAAATCGAGTGTGGTCAAAACTTCTGACACTTCAAATCAGCTTTGAGAATGTGCGTTTCTCAGAAGGTAGTAGGTCCCCCAAGACTAGGCCAGGATGTTTTACCTAGGAGACAAATTGTATATTGGGCTGTAGGATTCATGAAACCGTTGCCTGTTTCAGACGCTGACCGGAAAGGAGATTGAGATTGACATTGAACCCACAGACAAGGTAATGTACGCCCAATACCTCTCCATGCCTATCTCCCTACATGTACACTTGTTTGGGTATGCTGATGAACTGAGTCCTTCCGCTCTCATACTCTCTGCATAGCTCTTGTTCTTTCCCGTTCCACGGTCCTTCCCCCTGAGCAACCCCTGACTACTTGTACCCCTAAAGGTGGAGCGAATCAAGGAGCGTGTGGAGGAGAAAGAGGGAATCCCCCCACAGCAGCAGCGGCTCATCTACAGTGGTAAACAGATGTAAGTTTGGAATGGGAATGAGGGCGTGGCCATCTTATGTGAAGATGAAGATGCAAGTACTGGAGGTGGAGCAGGCCTGCCTTTTTTTTGTTGTCTCAGACCCTTTGGCAATTTGATGAAGGCTATGAACCCCTTCTCAGAATTAGATTTTTGCAGACAAAATAAAATGCATGGAATTACAAAAGAAACTAATAGGATCGAAATACACTTATCACACTACTAAAAAAGCAAGTTTGTGATGTATGTACTTCATTAAGATCTAATGATGGATATAATAACTACTATAATTTTAAAAGATTTTCAAGATACCTACAAATAGTTGTGAAATGATAGGAAAATATCTAATTTTTGTTGTTAACAAGTTACCCATATTGCTAATAATACCCCTGTGGGTTTTTTGCCTGTGTTCAAAACTGAAAGAAATATCAAATTTCAGTTAGGGGTTAGTAAAAATATAAAGATGTAATTTTTTTCTCATCTGCATTCATAGATCCCCAGACAGATCCATGAAACCCAGGTTAAGAACGTTGCTCTAGATGGTATTTCTAATACCTTTTTTCTTTTTTTTTGCCTCTTCCTGCAGGAACGATGAGAAGACAGCAGCTGATTACAAGATACTAGGTGGTTCAGTCCTCCACCTGGTATTGGCTCTGAGAGGAGGAGGTGGTCTTAGGCAGTGATGGACGCCCCCCTCCATTTCACCTCCTTGCCCTGTCGCTCATTATGAGGAATCATGTATCCTCTCACACTGTGGGACACCAGAGCCACTGCCCCCTCTCCTGGATGCCCAGTCTTGTGTGTCTGTTGGTGGGAGACTGTGAGGACCCCAGGATGCAGTGTTCCTGGCCCAAAGGGCCCTTGCTGGCTAATGGGTTTTAGTTTGCAGTCCTGTGTGCTTCCCTCTGTTAATGGCTATGTCCCTGGTTGTCAATAAAATATTTCCTGGCCTCCTGGAATCTTTCTTCTATTGCACAAACGTGACTGAAATCAAAATGGGCCAATGCACACTCAGTTATACCAGGCTGAAGGAGTAGGACAGTGTAAGAGAATGTGCCCTTAGAGGGGTTCTCAGATGCTTAAGAGTCTACACTCAGTGGTGTGCTGGAGCCAGCTCTTACCCGGCTCCAGAGCTAATTGTTGGCATCTTTCCTAACCCCATATTAAGTGACTTCGTGTTGGTAGCTTGAAATTGGCCATGGTAGGAATATTTACAGAAATTGACAAACAATACAAATCAGTCCTTCTCCCCAAACTGGTTGTTACATATCTGTCTGCATACTACTGACGTGGGTGGTAGAAACCAGGAGAGTGAATTCTCCCCCATTGTGACTCTACTGGACATTTGGGGCCTGTTTCAAGAAAGGCATCAAGAGCTTAGCGGACACTGCATTCTTTTATGGCTGGAATATTGCTGAGGGCTCTAGGCTGTATACGGTGGAGTGGCTGATGTGGAGAAAGGATGAGTGTGGAGTGACAAGCTATGATGGATCACTTTAGGGCTCAGTTGGTGAGATAAAATGAGAGACGGGTGCCAGAAGAAAGGGTTTCCCTTCCTTGTCTCCTCTAGCTCAGTAGAAGCTGGCGAGACCGGGTGGGGTGGAGAAGCAAGGGAAGACTATCCCTTGGAGAGACTTGGCATTGGCACTTTGCTGCGGTCCTCCCCACCACCGCCACCAGAAGGCGCGCTTGTGAGGTTTTGGGGCCGATCTTCCCAGCTCAGGTTGGCGACGCTCTAGTCGCCGCTTCTCTAAGGCCCGCGGGGCGGCCTGGGAGCCGCGGCAGAAAGGCCCGCCTCCGTGCGCGCAGCCTGCGGGCGCGGGTCATGGCGCGGCTCCCGAAGCTCGTAGTCTTCGATCTAGGTGAGGGGCTGGATTGGGAAGAGTTTCGTAGGGCACAGTTTTTTCCAAACCTCAGTTGATGCTCTCGAGGCCCTGCGCCTGCCCAGGCTGAGACCTCCCCCTCCTTCCTCTCACAGATTACACGCTGTGGCCGTTCTGGGTGGACACGCACGTAGACCCCCCGTTCCACAAAAGCAGGTGAGGCGGGGCTGGGGAGGCCTGGGGCCAGGCGGGGCCCCGCGGGAGCTGAGCACACTCTCGCCCTCCCCAGTGATGGAACTGTACGAGATAGGCGGGGCCAGGCCGTCCGACTGTACCCAGAGGTGCCTGAGGTCCTGGAAAGATTGCAGGGCTTGGGGGTGCCCGTCGCGGCCGCTTCACGGTAAGAAGAGCGACTGAGTCGGTCTAATGCTGAGAGGTGCATGCATGAGGAGACTTCCCGTGTAACCCCTTGGCTGCAAAAATTTAGGCGGTGCAAACTTGCAGGTATTTGTATATTCTTCGAATTGTACCTTCTCCTGTGCATTTTGTTTAATAAACATTGGCTCAGTGCCACCTGTGTCAGGAAGGATATGGAATTGAATCAGGGCGGAGGATGCCTACCCATCCCGGAAGAACAGCACGTTGATTTCCCCCTGGTTACACATAATTTCACTTGCAGCCTTGGCCCTCCACTCTCCTGATCCCATCTACTACACCTTTTTGCAGGACAGGTGAGGTTGAAGGGGCCAACCAGCTACTGGAACTCTTTGACCTTGTCAGATACTTTGTTCATCGGGAGATCTACCCAGGCAGCAAGGTCACGCACTTTAAGAGGTACGCTGAGATAAGGGGAGAAGCAGGGAGACAGAAGACCAGAGAGGCTGGAGGAGCTAAGAAGCCAGAGTGGTTACCCTCGCCGTGTCTTGCACAGGTTGCATCAGAAGACTGGAGTTCCTTTCTCCCAGATGATCTTCTTTGATGATGAAAAGCGGAATATTGTAGATGTCAGCAAACTGGGTACTGACTGAATGGCAAGGATAGCCATTTGGGGAGTGAGGAGAAAGGGCTCCTAAGAGGGAAGGGGTTAGGTAGATATGTACAGGATGGATAGTTTGCATGCAGGTGACACCCCAAAAAGGTGAGAGTCATAATAGGGAGCCCTGAAGGCCTGATGAAATTGTGGCTTCTTTCTTGCTAGGTGTTACCAGCATTCATGTCCAGAATGGAATGAGCCTTCAGACCCTAACTCAAGGATTAGAGACATTTGCAAAGGCACAAGCTGGACTCTGAGGTCCAGTCCTGTGGATGAGCCTCATTTGAGGCATAGAACTGAAAGGAAATCAGGAGGGCATTTTCAGGTGCATTTGTAAATTATTAAAGTGTATTTGTGTGTGGCAGAAGAGATATTACCCAGTGTGTGTTGTTTCTAATTTTCTAGCGTGTGACCCGGGGTGGGCCATCCGGAGGTGCCAAGACCAGTATGTGAGGCATTAGACTGCATCAGGTTCTGCCTTATAAACTTGTGGCAAACCCAAGACTGTGATTCCCTTATGCTCTCCCCATCCCCACACCTCTCCTGAGCTCTGTCAAGGACATGAAGAACTCTTCCACTGGCCCCAAGTAGTGGGGTGCATTACCCTGCACATTTCCTTCCAGGAAGCAAAGACTTTGTTTTGGGTTGGGGAGGGTGAGGCGACCTTTTTATATAGTGGGAAACGAAGCGGCCGCTTTAAGAGGAGCGCGTGGGTTTGGGGCTGGTGTGTCGGGTCGCACGTGATAGGGGTCTCGCTGGCGCTTGTTGATGATGTCGCCGCGGTGCCCCAAGGAGGGATTGGCCGAGGCTGGTCTCGGAGTGATGAGCCCAGCACCTCCCGGGAGCAAGGCGGAAGCGTACGGGACGCCGTAGGGCGGAGGCGGGAGAGGCTAGGGTCGCGATGAGTGGGCTCGGCCGGCTCTTCGGGAGGGGTGAGCCCGGCCGAGACTGGTCCCTGGGAGGTGCTGGCCGCAGGGGGCGGGGGGAGAGCCGGGAGACGCTGTCCTGAAAACGCTGGTGGTCCAGCAAGGCCTTTTCCCGGGCCAGGAGGCGCCGCCTTGTCAGGGCGCCTGGCTCCAGCTGCCTTCCTTCCTTCCCTTGGAGCGAAGAGCTCGAGGCCCGGGAGGGGGTGCGAGTGGTGAGCGTGGCAGCTGCGCTGGCTCCCGCCGTTAAGGCCTGGGGGACAAGTTGCTGCCTGTCGGCATTCAGTCCTTTCCAAAACACTGGTGCTTCCTTTATGCTGGGCCAGAGGCAATCTGAGGTGACCCAAGAAAGGTACCCCTCGTGAGCTCCTCTGTGGTGCGGGAAGACAAGCAAAGTCTGGCATTTACAGCGTAGTGTGGCGACTCCGTGATGGAGAGTTTCCTAAACAAGCAAAATCTGGCATTTACAGCGTAGTGTGGCGACTCTGTGATGGAGATTTACCTAAAAGCCAGGGGTGCGCGGAAGAAGCAGGCACGGCGGGTGGTGATCCAGAAGGCTAGAAGTATGCCAGATGGGGGGGTTGAGGTTCTCCAGGAAGAGGTAACTGTGCAAAACAGAGGCAGGAAAAGGTATGGTATATTTAGGGAAAAGGAGTTCTGGCTGCCCCGTGAGTGTGTGTGTGGGCGCGCACACGCGCTGAAGGAAGAGGAAAGTGTGGATGGAGAGGTAAACGGGGGCCAGATCATGAAGGACCCTGTGTGTCTTAAAGTTCTTTGGATTTTATCCTGTAGGCAGTGGAGAGTATGGAAGGATATTAAGCAGGCTAGGGCCTTCAGATTTTTTTTTTTTTAATAAGTCTGTTAGAAGTGCAGAAGATGAAGGGAGAAATTGAGATCAGATTTTTTTTTCTCTAGCCTCCCTACTTCATTCAGTTTGATCCTGTGGAATCAGGACCTTGAGTATCTCCTAGGATAGCAAGTGGAACAGTAATTATAAAAAGTGATTGAACTCTGGTGGGGAACACGGTAATGAGGAGGTTATGCATGTGTGAGTGCAGGTGGTATATGGGAAGTCGTTGTACCTTCCACTCACTCAGTTTGCTGTGAACCCAAAACTGCTCTAAAAAAATAAATTCTATTAAAAAAAACAACTGGAAATGACTTGAAAGGTAACTAGGAATAGCAAAAGAATATTGGCTTTGGAAATCATACTGTCACATTTCAATTCCTTTGCAGTCTCTTACTATAGTAATTGTGATTTTAGACCAAAATGTTAACCTCTTTATGCCTGTTTTCACATTCGTAGAGACAGTACATTCATCGTAGAAAGTTGTTTGGGGATTAACAATAACACGGTCAAGTGCCTAGCACTACTATGCACTCAATAATCGGTGACTAATATTTTTCCTTTACACAATGTGGGCTTCTCCATTGGACTCCAGAGAAGAAGGAGAGGGGGCCAACCCCTGAAGAGGCAATACAGAAACTGAAGGAGACGGAGAAGATATTGATCAAGAAACAGGAATTTCTGGAGCAGAAGATTGAACAGGAGCTACAAACTGCCAAGAAGCATGGGACGAAGAATAAGAGAGGTAATGGGGGAGGGACAGGAACCACCAGGGAGGGCCCGGGGGCCGGGGGGAAAGCAAGGGCTTCTGGCTCTGATGTTCAGGGTGTGGGCTGGATCAGCCGCCCTACAGGCTTTGCGGAGGAAGAAAAGGTTGGAACAGCAGCTGGCACAAACGGACGGGACATTATCCACCCTGGAGTTTCAGCGTGAGGCCATTGAGAATGCCACCACCAATGCAGAAGTGCTTCGTACCATGGACCTTGCTGCCCAAGGCATGAAGAAGGCCTACCAGGACATGTGGGTATGGGGGGAGGGGAGGAGGGGGCCCCGGCACTGGGGAGAGTAGCTTGATGTTGTACTGTGAATCTTAAAACCTCTCCAGATGTGAATTTACAGTAGAGTTGCCTGTGATGGCTAGACCCCTATCAGCCTCCTTACTTATTGCAAGGTGATCTCTTTGCTGGCTGGGGCATTCTAGGGAGGAAAGATGATTTTCCTCTTTTTTGTGGTTTTTTTGGCTGTACTGCAAGGCTTGTGGGATCTTAGTTCCCGGACCAGGGATTGAACCCCGGGCCCTCCTCAGTGAAAACACCCAGTCCTAACCACTGGACTGCCAGGGAATTCCCAATTTTCCTCATTTTTAAAGATCCTTCAAAGAAGAGAGTGCAACCATTCCTCCCCAGTGCGTCTTCTTGCCATTTCTTAGCCCAGATTTGCCTCTTTACACTTTTCCAGGGATCTCTTTTATCTAGTAGCCATGGATTTGTCAGTCTGAAGCCACAGGCAGGAGGGTCTTCATTCATGTGAGATGAAAAAGTCAGGGTTGTCACCTGATTTCTGGGCTGTGTATCTTGTTCTCAGGGACATTGACAAGGTGGATGAACTGATGGCTGACATCACAGAACAACAGGAGGTGGCCCAGCAGATCTCAGATGCCATTTCTCGACCCGTGGGATTTGGAGATGATGTGGATGAGGTGATTGGGAGTGAGGGGTCAAGGAATATTGGAGAAGGCATGGGACCAGCCAGAAGGAATGCCTAAGAGAACTGTGGGACAGGTTTGGGGGAAACTCCAAAAGTGGTATGTTTCTGGAAGTAGAATTTTCCTTTGTCTTGAGCGATCCTGTCATCCCATATCCAGGATGAACTGTTGGAGGAGCTAGAGGAGCTGGAGCAGGAGGAATTGGCCCGAGAGTTGTTACATGTGGGCGACAAGGAGGAGGAACCCCCAGTCACACTGCCCAGTGTACCGTCTACACATCTTCCTGCAGGGCCAGGTACCCAGGGCTGTTCTGTCATCTCAGGGACTTGAGAGGGTGGGATAGATATGGGGAAAAATTATTCCTCATCCATCCTGCCTGAAAGGATCTAGGCAGAGAGGGTTGCTGCTACAGTTGCACAGGTTGTTGACTGCATAAGGGCACCTGGCTGAAGGGGAATGAGGACTGAAGTCAGGCCTGTGCTTCACTCAGCAAACTGTGTCCCCTGGTTTAGGGCTGCAAATGCCTGGAGAAAGAGGCAGCTTCTTCTGATTTGCCCAAAGGTGCTGTGGGAATTAGCAGCAGCCCAGCAAGCAAGACCATACCCTTAGGTTCTTTGCTGGGAGAGAGCGTTCCGCAGGCTCTGAGTGTTATAGGAGGGGATGGTTGGAAGTTGCTGAGGCCTTAACACTTCTTTCTTTCTCTGGGTATCCTTATCCCCAAAGCTCCCAAAACGGATGAAGATGAAGAAGCACTAAAGCAGTTGGCTGAGTGGGTGTCCTGATGAGTCTGGGCTTGTCTACCTGACGCTGCCTTCATTGTTCTCTTTTCCTTAAGTGCCAAGTGCTAAGCTAAAGGAACATGGCCTTGTTGGGAGGTCCTGCTGAGAGTGGTAGTGTGACCCTGCCTGAGAAAAGGGTCTGTCGCCCTCCCATCCCAGGCTCAACCCTGAAGAAGGATCTTGGTGCAGGAGGAACCCCTGGGCTCCCTTTAATAGCAGTTACAGTGCCCTCGTTCGCAATAAAATTGGGCGGATGGAACCCTAGTGCTTATACTGCCCTGTCTACAACTGAAACTCGTCTCTTGGTCCTTGGAGCTTTGTTTCAAGAAATGAGTAGTAATGAGAGTAATGAAGGGGAGTTGGAGCATAGGAGAAATGGGAGCTTCCATTATCTCAGCCTACTATGTTCCAGGCAGATACTGTTCCATCTCTCAGGCTGGTGTGTCCTAGAGCTGCCTGGTGCTGAGGGTGAGGAAACTGCCATCTGTTATTTATCCTAGAACCGTGTGGAGCTGTCCCTGAGCCTTCCCTCATTGCTTTCACCCAGTTGTGTCTCTGCCGAGAGAGCCCCGTGACTCACCAGCTGTCCCCTTACAAAGCCCACTTTCAAGGGTAGGAAAGGAGACGTACGGGGATAAGGGGTCAATAGGTTTCCTTTCTCCGGAACGCATAGTTCATAGGCTTGGTTTGAACTGTCACTTCAACGTGTAGGAGCAATGATGAGGGACCATGATTCACCAGGATTGTTTCAGTAGTGGGTAAGGTGGCATTTGGAGGAGGAAGGAACCAAGATATTACATACCTCCTGATACCCATGTCTAAAAGAATGAACAGTGCCGTCCCCTTGGACTGTAGACAGGCAGAGCTGTGACCAAACCGAGCAATCAGGGTAGAGCAACCTCTACCCCACTATTTGAACATTTAGAGTGCATAGAGATAGACAAAACTGAGCATGTACTCAGCCAGAATAATGAAGCTTCCCCAAAGCAGGTGTTCCTCTGAGCACGCCCAACCCACTTCCCTATAAGCCACATATGCGCTACACTGTAAATTATAATGTTGACTTGACCAGTGTCACGATGACTGGTTACAAGCTCTGGGCAGAAACACCTCTCACCCTCAGCAGTGTTCGCTGCTAAGGTTCCCCTGAGGGAAGACTGTGACTCTAGCTGATGGAACTAAAACAGAATTAGATTTATTTTTGGTGGGAAAGATTTTTAGCCCAAGACCCTCCTGCTTTGCTCCTCTTTCAACCCCCTCCTCCTTCCGCCGTTTTCAGGTACTGATTTCCAAGGATTGGTGACGATTGGTGCCGGGGGGCTGGCACATGGCCTCAAGCAGCCTGATCTCATGGGTGGGTTGCTCAGGCTGGAACTTGAGCACCCAGGGATCCTTGATGATGTCCAGGATGGTGGCACGCTTGGTGGCTTGGCATAGTGTCTGGAGGACCAGGTTCTAGGGCAGGGGAGAGAGAGGTCTTGGCTGAGCTGGCCCGCATTGTGCCACACAATGAGCAGCTGGACCTAAGAAAGTAGCAGGATAGCCCATCACACCACTCTGGTGAAAGGGAGTGCGGCCCTGACTTTACCCTTAAAAGCCTCCTGTCTGCTCAGAAAGCCAACACCTTGAGGGGAAGGAAAGGAAGGGTTCCTTGGGGGAAATCCTTGCAGAATCCCCTTCTGGCCTAAAGAGATAGAGACTAAAACCTGCTTATCACTCACATCCCAGGTGCAAGCCCAGAGGTTGGCCCTTTAAGCCCTCCCCACTATTCTAGGGCAGGGCAAGGGTGTGGAATGGCCCTGGTATCGGGGGGAGGCTTCCCTGGGGTTGGGAGGTCTAGGTTGAGTATTCCCTCTCTGCAGGTCACCCCTGAGGCCTCAGCCCTCCTGGGGGAGCCAGCACCTTGCACTCCTGGGAGATGGCATAGTTAGGTGGAAAAGTGACCTCCTTCTGAGTCTCTCTCAGCAGTTTCTTGAGATTGGTGTCATCGAAGGGCAGACGGGCAACCACTAGCGTGTAGAGGATGACGCCCATGCTCCAGATGTCAGACAGGAAAGGGTTGTAGGGCAGGCCTAGCAAGACCTCCGGGCAGGCATAAGCAAAGCTGCCACAGTACGTCTGGCTGAGGTGGCTAAAGCAGTTCCCTTGGCGGTAGGAAGGGCTGCTCCGCACAGACTGGCTAGAAGGCACCATCTTGGCGAAGCCAAAGTCCGATATCTTCACGTTCTTCCACTTGTCCAGCAACAGGTTCTCCAACTTTAAGTCCCTACCAGCAGCAGAAAGGCTGGGGGTCAGGAGAGGGCTTAGTGTTAGACTGGGAGCTGAAGGGCCAGGGGTCAGAGGCTAGAGATAAGGAAAGGCAAAGAGGGAGAGAGATGCCATTATGAGGACACAGGGCAGAGAGGAAGGAAAGTCATGGAGTTGTGAGCAGAGCCCAGAGGGAAGAGAGGATGGTACCTGAGGATCACTAGGAGCTCACCATCACTTTTCATAAAGTGCTCTGCTCACAGTGGGTACTTAACAAATGTTCTTGACCGGATGATTAAAATAAAGTGGATGAATAGGCCTAGATACTGAGGAGGGAGGTCAAGGGAAGAAAAAAGAGGGTAGAACATGGAAGACGTGCATAAAACCCCCTTGGGAGCCCAAAGGCCTCAGTCTGGGTGGCAGCGCCCTCACCGGTGCACGATGCCCTTGCTGTGCAGGTAGGCGATGCCCAGGGTCATCTGGGAGAACCACTTGCCAGCAAGGGGCTCAGAGCAGGCCCCATAGTGCTGGATCCACTCAAGGACGTCACCACCCTGAACCAGCTCCAGAATAACGTACACTCGGGATGTGGTCTCGATGGCCTGATAGAAGTTGATGAGATACTTGTGCCGCAGGACCTTCATTACCTGGCCCCAGGAGAGGGACCCATCAAACCCAGGCAGGGAGCACCCTGGCTGCGCTCCCAGCCTTCTCCTACTCTCCCACTGCTACTTTCCTAGAACTTTGCAACAGAATCAAACCCCAGAGGGCTGGTGGCCTGTGGACAAACACTATGCTTTGCACTTTTTACTTTTTGAGGGTCTGGAGGTGAGGTGGAAAGAAGCTGAATTTACATCAAGTAATTTTCCTAGCTGCCTAGTGAGTCATTCAGTTGTGGTATAGGGGTTTCTGGCTCCACCCCCTCCTAACCATACCCCTTTTGAGAAGCCTTAAGCAGCTTGGTACCAGCTCCCTCTTCTAGCCCCTTTCCAACCTGTATCTCACGGGGCAAGAACTTGTTAAGATAGTCCTCAGAGGCCTTCTTCTTTGAGATGATCTTGACAGCCACCATGACTTTCTGCTTTGTGTAGTAAGCCTCATACACCGTCCCGTAGGAGCCATGGCCAATGACTTTGCCCACTTCGTAACCATATTCCTCCATGACAGAGCGGTAGGCCGAGGTGGATGGTGCTCCCAAGGTGTCTCCCTTCCCCATGGTGTTGGGCTTGCTGAGAGCAGGGAGCTTTGCTACTTAAAAGCCTCCTGTCTGCTCAGAAAGCCAACACCTTGAGCCGCTGAAGGCTAGGGTACCAAAGTGAAGTTAGTCTCCCAAAGCTTGCCTATGTAGTCATACAAGTCTGGGATGCTGGGCTCAGCTCTCCACTAGGAGCTTGGAGAGGGAAGAAGGGAAAAGCAGTTCTTTTTGTCTCCACTGGCTGTTGTTACTTCTTTCTCCTCTTGGTTACGGAACTCCCCAAGGTCCCGTGTTCCGCACACATCATAATCCACCTTCTATCCACCACTGGCCACAAGGCTTGAGAAGGAAATGCAGTTTGGAACATATTCATTGCTGGAGGTACCTTTATAATTTGGTGAGACTCGCTCCGTGGATCTGGTCCTTTCAACCAATCATGTTTATTGAGCACCTGCTATGTGCCAGGCAGTGTACGGAGTCCTGGGAGAAAATAACCAATAAGGCGAAGAGAGCCTCTGCTAGCGTTTATAATCCAGCATGAGAAACACCTGAGTGTCAGAATATCACAGAGAATCGCAAGGTATTGTAGAAGCGTGTTCTAAGGAATCTAACTTTAAAATGTATTCTTTTTTGGGGGTGGTGGTGGTGGCTTAAAATAACAATCTTTTTTTTTTTTGAACAAGTTGAGCTGGACTCAGTTGGGTAATTCAGCTGGTGGCATCATCTCAGCTGGCTGGTTTGTTTCGGCGTATGATCTCATTATTCAGTAGAGTAGCCCAAGTTCCCTCACACAGTTTGCACTGAATTTCAAGAGAAAAAAAGACAAGCTGCATGACCAATGGAGGCCTAGGCTCCAGAATCACAAACCATCACTTCCATACCTTTATATGCATAAAGACGGTTACAAAGATCACTCGGATTTATGAGGTGGGGATGGAGACTCCTCTTAACCTTGAAATGCATTCTTTTTTTAAAATATTTATTTTGGCTGCACTGGGTCTTAGTTGCGGCATGTGGGATCTTTAGTTGCGGCACGTGGGATCTTTAGTTGCGGCATGCATGTGGGTTCTAAGTTCCCCGACCAGGGATTGAACCCTGGCCCCCTGCATTGGGAGCGTGGAGTTCTACCCACCAGACCACCAGGGAAGTCCCCTTGAAATGCATTCTTATCTTGCCTTCCATGACCCTGAACTCTACAGTTTTCCTTCCATCCCCCTACCCATTTCTCAGGTTCCACTGGAGCCTCCCCCACCATCCACCCCTTAATCACACCCCGAGGGTTCTATTATAGGCCTTATTTCCTCAGACCTTTCTGTCCTCCCTAAGAATCTCATCGAGACCCCTCATTTCTTAACTCCAGCAAGCCTTCTGCTCCCCTCCCCTCAGTGTGTTCACCCTGAAGTCCAGGGAGTAAATCTGATTTTATTCCCATAACAATTCAGTGCCTCCCCATTCTCCTTAAGATCGAGTCCAGATTCTTTTATGTGGCTTCAAATTTGACCCTGCTTACCTCTCCGATTTTTTCTTGTAACATACATGCAATGCTCCGGCCAAACAATTGCTTTTCCTTCATTGTTCCCTCTGTTCTGGCAAACTCCTACTCTCCCTTCAGGACTTAGCTGATGATCTGTTTTAAGGAAGCCTTTACTGACTGTTCAGGCCCAAATTAGATGGTCCTCCCTCCTGGGTGCTCCCACAGCTCCAATACTTTCTCTAACATGGTGTCTGTTTTTCTTGCTTGCATCTCCCACTAGGCTGTAAGGGAGGCCAGCTGATGAGAGAAGGGATATGAAGTCAAAGACTTGAGAAGAAAGGCTTGTGGAGAATGGGAGAGAGCTGATTTGGAAAATGAGCATTATTGGGCAGCACTGAGGGCCCAAATGAGATTGGAAAACACAACTTATGGACACACAATCTTAACATATCATAGTGTTAAGATTATTTTAGCATTCTGGATATAGGTGCTTGAATATTAACAGACATATTGACCCAAGATTAAGGTTTCACTTAGCAGCTGCCATGAAAGAATGGGAGAGGCATCAAGAACACAGGCAAGAATGTGGCTAAAATGATGGAATGCAGAATCTAAGCTGCTTGGGTTAGGAAGACAAGCTAGAAAAAGGCCAAAGGACAGGGGGAGGGGTTGCAGGTCTCAGTGAAATGGAACAAGTTTGGTGGGAAAGACAGAGGACAAGAGGTTGTGTCAGAGGGGTTATATAACTGGATTTAAGATGGGGGAGGGGGTGGCACACAGAGGAAATAACAAAGGAAGAATCAGAGTTATCTTCCATCCTCCAAAACGAAACAGAAACTCCAACATTATGCCATAGGCTACTGGTAAATTCCTATTTATTGACAGGCTGATCCTGCTGGCAGGGTGGTTCCAAAGTCCTGTTGGAAGCCAGATCTACATCCTCAGTCTATCAAGATGAACAACTGTCCAGGGCACACAGTGGTAAGGAGGCCCACCCAGCCCCGCCTATCTTCTGCTGCCCTGGATAGGCAGCTTGGTGGCACCTCTGTTCTCATCACGTACAGCAGATAAACCAGTTCATTCAATGAATGTGTATTAAGCTGCCTACTGTATACAAAAGCACTGCTAGGCTCTGAGGATACCAAGATGGATAAATTATAATCCTCCTGTGAGGAGTTAGCAATTAGCAAGGGAGACAGACACGTAAGAAGTTAAAATAACAGTACGGTGAGATAAAGTTCTATAAACAAAGCCTGTAAGGAAATGTTAAGGGAAGGCTTTATAGAGAAGGTGGCATTTGCACTGTTCAAAAGAAGTCTCCAGGCAGGTTAAGTAGGGAATGGTAGATTGAACAGTTTAGGCAGAAGGAACCATATATGAAGCTTGCAAGCTTGAGAAAATATGACACTCAAGATTTCAATTTAAATATACAGGATAGGGTTCCAGAGGGGAATGTACCTGGAGAAGTAATTTAAATGCAGGTCTGAGAGGCCTAATATGCCAAGCTTTTTTTGACTCTGTCCTATGTACTCATGGTTAAATTTTGCTGTGCATCAAAGTCAGAGCTTTTTAAAAAAATACTGATGCCCAGTCACCTCCTTCCCCAAGATCCGGATTTGGTGGAACTCAGGTATCTATGTTATTTTTTATAAATTTATTTATTTTTATTTTTGGCTGCGCTGGGTCTTTGTTGCTGTGTGCTGGCTTTCTGTAGTTGCGGCGAGTGGGGGCTACTCTTCCTTGCGGTGTGTGGGCTTCTCACTGCGGTGGCTTCTCTTGTTGCAGAGCATAGGCTCTAGGCACGCGGGCTCAGTAGTTGTGGCGCACGGGCTTAGTTGCTCCGTGGCATGTGGGATCTTCCTGGACCAGGGCTCGAACTCACGTCCCCTGCATTGGCAGGCAGATTCTTAACCACTGTGGCACCAGGGAAGTCCCGGTATCTATGTTTTTAATCAGTTTCCAGCTGAATCTGATGCACACCAAGATTTGAGAACCACTGTTGCAAACTAGTGAATTTAATGAAAAGAAACAGACTCACAGATACAGGGAACAAACTAGTGGTTACCAGTGAGAAGGGCGAGGGGGCAATATAGGGGTGGAGGAGTGGGAGTACAAACTATTGGGAGTAAGGTGGGCTCAAGGATGTATTGCACAACACGGGAAATATAGCCAATATTTTGTAATAACTGTAAATGGAAAGTTACCTTTAAAAATTTTTTTAGGGTTTCCCTGGTGGCGCAGTGGTTAAGAATCCGCCTGCCAATGCAGGGGATACAGGTTCGAGCCCTGCTCTGGGAAGATCCCACATGCCGCAGAGCAACTAAGCCTGTGCGCCACAGCTGCTGAGCCTGCGCTGTAGAGCCCACGTGCCACAACTACTGAAGCCCGCGCACCTGGAGCCTATGCTCCGCACCAAAGGAAGCCGCCACAATGAGAAGCCCACGCACCACAACAAAGAGTGGCCCCCGCTCGCCACAACTGGAGAGGGCCAGCGCACAGCAACAAAAGACCCAACTCAGCCAAAAATAAATAGATAAATAAATAAAATATTTAAAAAAAATTTTTTTAAGAAAAGAACCACTGTTGCAGGAAACAGGACATCTTTAAGACTAAAGAAAGAAAAAATCCTTGCAGCAGCAGTATGGAAAATGGATCCAAGGGGAGAGATGACCAAGAGACTAGCAAGGTGGCTGTCATGATAATTTAGGTGAGGGGATGGGGCCTGAACCAAGGCAGCATGAAGGGCAATTTGGAAGATAATTCGAGAGAAAAGCAGAGGAGGCTTGGTGGCACTGATCTTATGGGGGCGGCTGTTAATTGTGAAGGAGGCCCAGGTTTAGAGACCAGGGGGTTATCACTTAAAAAAGCCACTCTAAATTACTTTTCTAATTACAAAATTAATTGATTGTCTAAAAAACTCAACCCCCTACTTCCTGGATCCTCCTGCGGGGAGGAGGGCTGGGTCAGAGAGGGCAGAAGTGAGTAAATGAAGGGCTTTTCAAGCCAGAAACCGCTTGAGATTTTCCACTTTCTTTACGCGAGGAAAGGAAACCTTAAGTTGTTCCCAGGTGGCCAAAACGAAGTCATGGCCCCTGGGTCTGATCTCCAGAGGAATTTCCCTAATGGCAGATCCCTTGACAGGATAAACTTTTCCAGAATAATCTGCAATACAAAATTAAGAGATGCTCAAACACATATACAGAGATAAATAAAGAATAAAAACATAGAGACCGAAGCAAGCATGTCAAGGTTCTTTACCTGCAATTAACAACAAGCGTCAGGCGGCCCAGTTCACGGGGTAAAAGAGCAACTACCCGATCTCTTTGCGTGCCTCTGCACCAAACCTGGCCCAGGCTTGCCTATCGTCGGACACGGGACGGTCGCTATACGGTCAGGGAGGCCTCCAGTACAGTCTCGGTAAGATATTTTTATTTACGGCATTTGGTTTTTGGCGAGAGGCCATTCAGGACGGATGGCAGAGCAGCAGTGAGGTGAGATCCGATTCTAGGACGCTCGTATGGGCTGTGTCCTCTGCTGTCGTACGACAGCGACGCCCAAAGCCTCACCCCCGCCCGGGTTGAGGACCTTGAGCCACCTCTCGGGGCTCGGCCTCAGCAGTCGGTGGCGACTCCCATTGGTTCAGCCGGCAAGCGCTTCGGCCTCCGCTAGGTGTGGGAGCAGCCGCCGCCCGGGCTCCGCGTCCCGGGCAGTGACTGGGCGCGAGCAGCGGGCACTGCTCTTGGACGCCCAACCCAAACCTTCCCGGGGATAGGCGGCCGGACCCGCGGCAACGCTTATCCAAAAAGGGCGTTTGTGTCCTCGTAGCCAGGTCTCAACCGCAACCCCCACTGGAGAAACCCGGGAGCTTTGGAGCGGCCTCGGCCTGGGGGGAGTGGCCCCCTCCAAGCTCCAGGAAAGGAGCTTTCCGCCGGGCTGAGGTCCCCTCGGGTGAAGGCGGAAGAGGGAAGACTGACGTGTCCTGAGCTGCCCTCAGGTCGCCGGGAGGGCCCCCCACCCCGCTCCTTGCCGGGCGACGGGCTAGCCCGAGACTCGCGGGGTCTCCAGAGCTGGGCCGGGCCTCCAGCCGTAGAAAGGTTCCCCAAGGAAGCACTGAAGTGAGCCGGGCGCGATATTTTGCGGTGCGGCTGCAGCCGCTGCGATCAGGCACCGCAGCGGCCAGCCCCGTGGAGGTCGGTTGTCAAGTCCTCTCCAGGCCCCCTGCTAGCGCGCCGCTCTGGGGGAGACCCCGGCAGGAGCGCGAGGCCGGCTGCAGTGCAGCAGAGGCCGCTGGCGCCGCCTCGGCCAGCCCTTCCCGCGCGGAGAGCACCCCGGGGCTGCGGCGGGAAGGTGCCGGACGTGCGGGGCCGCGTGGCGTTGCCATGGAAACGGGCTGGGGCGCGCGGGGAGGTCCCGGGCAGGCGGGCTGCCGGAGGGGGGGACCCCAGGTTGGGAGGACTACATAGCAGAGGTGGAGGCCAGTGTTCGAGCTAGAGGGACATGGTGTGGTGTGGCGGTGGGGAGGTGGCCTCCTGAGGGAGGGTCGGAAAGGCCAAGGGGAGGAATTGGAGCCATTGGCTTCAGTTCAAAGAACCTGACCTGGGGAGTCATTCGATCCCTGGTTCCCATAACTGCAGGACTACCCCAAACAGGTTCCGCTGCCTTAAGGATGACAGTCCTAGGCCGCCCTGGAAGTTGGAGCTGCCGGTGGTTGCCACTCCTGCTGCTGCTGTTGCTGGGCACAGGTCGAGATCCAGGGGTGGAAGGTGTGACACACTACAAGGCCGGCGACCCCGTCATTCTGTATGTCAACAAAGTGGGACCTTACCATAACCCTCAGGAGACTTACCACTACTATCAGCTTCCAGTCTGCTGTCCTGAGAAGATACGCCACAAAAGCCTTAGCCTGGGTGAAGTGCTGGATGGGGACCGGATGGCTGAGTCTTTGTACGAGATCCGCTTTCGGGAGAATGTGGAGAAGAGAATTCTGTGCCACATGCAGCTCAGTTCCGCACAGGTCAGCCTCTCCACACTGACTAGAACTTAGCCCTCCCTCCCAGGGCCTAATAATAGTGTCTTAGGTTTATGGTTTTCAAAGCACCTTTATGGAAATGATCTGATTTGATTCTAACTACAACCTCATGTGGCAGGCAGGGAGGGTAGTATTTATCATTTGCATTTGGTTGATGAAGAAACATACTTGTTCAGAAGTAACTTCTTCAAGACTACATGGATAGTGGATTGCAGAGTTGACATTAGAGTCCAGGGCTCCTGACTCGAAGCTTCTCTGTAGGTAATAAGGTCCCAACTATCACACCTATGTAGTCATTTTTTGCCATCCCTACCTCTTGGCTTTTTTAATTGGCTCCTTTACATGCTGCCTAATTTTCCCTATCATGCTTTTTTCTTCAGCAATTCCTATCTTAGGGCACTTTTCCTTAGTCTACTGCAGACCTTCCTACACCTCCCTCTCCTCCTAGGCCTTCATCCTGTCGAGTCATACTTGCTCATTTCAGAGAATCCCAACATAATACTAGGGTCTACCCAGTGGTTCTCAACAGGGGGCTTTTGTCTCTCAAGAGACATCTGGCAATGTCTAAAGACTTTATTTTTAATTAATTTATTTATGTTTGGCTGTGTTGGGTCTTTGTTGCAGTGCACGGGCCTCTCATTGCGGTGGCTTCTCTTGTTGCGGAGCATGGGCTCTAGGCGCGCGGGCTTCAGTAGTTTTGGCACACGGGCTTAGTTGCTCCGCGGCATGTGGGATCTTCCCAGACCAGGGCTCAAACCCGTGTCCCCTGCATTGGCAGGCGGATTCTTAACCACTGCGCCACCAGGGATGTCCTCTGAAGATATTTTTGATTGTCACTACTGGGAAACGCTACTGACATCTAGTGAGAAGCAGCCAGGGACGGAGCATCTTACAATTCATAGGGCAGCCCCCTACAACAAAGCATTTTCCAGCTCAAAATGTCATTAGTGGGGCTGCCCTGGTGGCGCATGGTTGAGAATCCGCCTGCCAATGCAGGGGATACGGGTTTGAGCCCTGGTCCAGGAAGATCCCACAAGCCGCAGAGCAACTAAGCCCGTGTGCCACAACTACTGAGCCCACGGGCCACAACTACTGAAGCCCGTGCACCTAGAGCCCATGCTCCACAAGAGAAGCCACTGCAATGAGAAGCCCACGCACCACAACGAAGAGTAGCCCCTGCTCTCTGCAACTAGAGAAAGGCTGCGCACAGCAACGAAGACCCAGTGCAGCCAAAAATAAATAAATAAAATAATTAATTAAAAAAAAAACCATATCATTAGTGCTGAAGTTGAAACCCTGCTCTAATACAATGCCTGGGGAGGCCTTGTCTGACTCCTAACTTGCTCTTTTTAGGTGGAACAGCTGCGCCAGGCCATTGAGGAACTATACTACTTTGAGTTTGTGGTGGACGACTTGCCAATCCGTGGCTTTGTGGGCTACATGGAGGAGAGTGGCTTCCTGCCTCACAGCCACAAGATAGGACTCTGGACCCATTTGGACTTCCACCTAGAATTCCACGGAGATCGAATTATATTTGCCAATGTCTCAGTGCGGGACGTCAAGCCCCACAGTTTAGATGGGTTACGACCGGATGAGTTCCTAGGCCTCACCCACACCTACAGTGTGCACTGGTCTGAGACTTCAGTCGAGCGTCGGAGTGACAGGCGCCGTGGTGATGATGGTGGTTTCTTTCCCCGAACACTGGAAATCCATTGGTTGTCCATCATTAATTCCATGGTGCTTGTGTTTTTACTGGTGGGTTTTGTGGCTGTCATTCTCATGCGTGTGCTTCGAAATGACCTGGCTCGGTACAACTTGGATGAAGAGACAACCTCTGGAGGTTCTGGTGATGACTTTGACCAAGGTGACAATGGCTGGAAAATTATCCATACAGATGTCTTCCGCTTCCCTCCATACCGTGGTCTGCTCTGTGCTGTGCTTGGTGTGGGTGCCCAGTTCCTGGCCCTTGGCACTGGTAAGGTGATAAAAATTAATTAGGGATTTCTCTCAAGGGGTAGAACTAAGTAGGTAGTTTGTTCAGAAAAAGATCTACAGATCTTCTCTTCTGTCCAAGGTGAGGGGCAGACCTAAGGGGTGGAATGGCTCTAGCAATATTCTGTTGTGGGTTTTCTGGACAGCAGAACTGGGGGATATTGTTTTGATGGAAGCCCTGGGTCTGGGAGAAAGGGGGCTGGCTGATTTCTATGAGATTGCCAGAAGAGGGATAGGTGAGACCTAACACAGGCTTTCCACTACCATGCTGCAGGCATTATTGTCATGGCGCTGCTGGGCATGTTCAACGTGCACCGTCACGGGGCTATTAACTCAGCAGCCATCTTGTTGTATGCCCTGACTTGCTGCATCTCTGGCTATGTGTCCAGCCACTTCTACCGGCAGATTGGAGGCGAGCGTTGGGTGTGGAACATCATTCTCACCACCAGTCTCTTCTCTGGTGAGGACTGCCCTTTCCGTGGTGGGCCAGTTTAGGAACTTAGAACACATCATGGAACCTGAGATAGAGTCAGAGTAGGGCTTTCAAGGGACTGAAAATAGGTAAAAGAAACACTAAGGAAACCATTCAAAAGACAAAAAGTGCATTTCTTTTTTTTTTTGCATAGTTAAATATTAAGCCCTTGAAATGTTTTAGGCAACGTGATAAGCACTTGACCTGCCTTCATCTTATTTAATTCTCACACTGACTTCATGAAGTAGGTAATATTGTCCCCATTTTACAGATGAGGAAATTGAACTTCAGGCTGGTTAGGTAACTTGCCTGAGATTGTACTCCTAAAAAGCAGAGAATCAGGTTTCAGACCTAGGCAGTCAAACTCTAGAGCCTGTATTCTCAACCATTACACTGAAATAACACTCTTGAATTTATCTTTTGAGACTCCCTTTCTTTCCCCCCAAGTTTTTTTTTTTGGCCACGCTGCACGGCATGTGGGATCCCACTTCCCTGATCAGGGATCGAACCTGCGCCCCCTGCATTGGAGGCGCGGTGTCTTAACCACTGGACCACCAGGGAAGTCCATCCCCAAGTTTTTTGTTTTTTTTTTTGCGGTACGCGGGCCTCTCACTGCTGTGGCCTCTCCCGTTGCGGAGCACAGGCTCCGGACGCGCAGGCTCAGCGGCCATGGCTCACGGGCCCAGCTGCTCCGCGGCATGTGGGATCCTCCCGGACCGGGGCACGAACCCGTGTCCCCTGCATTGGCAGGCGGACTCTCAACCACTGCGCCACCAGGGAAGCCCCCCAAGCTTTTTTAATTTTGAAAGTGGGCCTCCCCACTCTAGCCTTTCAAGCCAGCTTGTCCTTTCAAAGGCAGTAGTAGTTTGCATTCTGAACCTCTTGTGTTTCCAACTGTTAAGTATCTGATTTCTGTTCTACCACATTTACATTTGAACCAGGGCTTTCTGAAAACAGAGCCTTAATTCAAAGGAATGTCTCATACTAGGAATCACCAGTGCCACAGCAGGACAGGCCCTTGGAGGCAGGTGGATTTGTGTCACTCTTAGATCATAATGTAACGGGCTTGCCTAGATCCTTAATGATAATGGGTAGGGGAGGGAGTGTTGGTAAGCTAAGGAACAAAGAACAACAAGACATGAAAGGGTGGAGTCAGCCTGGGAGCGGGATGTTTCACTCCTCACTCCTTTAGGTCCAGTCTGATTGGGTGCTCCCAGGGATGTAGCTCCTAGTGCTAACTCTCCCTCTGGGGACCATCCCTGCAGTGCCTTTCTTCCTGACGTGGAGTGTGGTGAACTCCGTGCATTGGGCCAATGGTTCAACACAGGCTCTGCCAGCCACCACCATCCTGCTGCTTCTGACGGTTTGGCTGCTGGTGGGCTTTCCCCTCACTGTCATTGGAGGTATCTTCGGGAAGAACAACGCTAGCCCCTTTGATGCACCTTGTCGCACCAAGAACATAGCTCGGGAAATCCCACCCCAGCCCTGGTACAAGTCTTCTCTCGTCCACATGACTGTTGGAGGCTTCCTGCCTTTCAGGTATCCTCCCTTTATTCCATGGCCATCACTCTCAGGATCCTGACCTTAACTTTCCCCTTCCGTACTCACCCTGTACCGTAACCCATTGTCGCTGATAATCCCTGGTTCAGCTGTACCATTAAGAGATCACTAAATGGTTCCTCCTTTCTCCAACCAGGACTGAGCTTGAATCAGTTCAAATATGAGGGTGTCTCACTTGTGAAGCTCTCCAGAGACATTGCTCCTTTCACTGTCTTCCTAGTTTCTGACTTTGGCGACACCACGTGGGGCTTAAAACCCATTTGATTACTCATCCAATTTGTCAAGTACCTTTTAGTGCCAGACAAATACAGTGGAAAATAGACCAGACAAGATCCCTGCTCTCAACCTACCAAAGAAGATGTTCTTGAAATGAGAGCAGCCAATCATAGGTGGAAGAATCCCCATCAAGCCAGGAACTCCAGTGCAGGGAGTAGAGAGGGCCCACTTTCCACAGTGGCCCAGTAACGTGGAGGGGTGGTGGCTGGAGTTTGGCCTGGCCACTGTGCTGGCAGTGCACAGCCCTTTAATGCTGTGTATCGTCTCTTCTCTTCACAGTGCCATCTCTGTGGAGCTGTACTACATCTTTGCCACAGTCTGGGGTCGGGAGCAGTACACTTTGTACGGCATCCTCTTCTTCGTCTTCGCCATCCTGCTGAGCGTGGGGGCTTGCATCTCCATCGCACTCACCTACTTCCAGTTGTCTGGGGAGGATTACCGCTGGTGGTGGCGATCTGTGCTGAGTGTTGGCTCCACTGGCCTCTTCATCTTCTTCTACTCAGTTTTCTACTATGCCCGGCGCTCCAACATGTCGGGGGTGGTACAGACAGTAGAGTTCTTTGGCTACTCCTTACTCACTGGATATGTCTTCTTCCTCATGCTGGGCACCATCTCCTTTTTTTCTTCCCTAAAGTTCATCCGTTATATCTATGTTAACCTCAAGATGGACTGAGTTTTGGGTGGCAAAACTATCACTCTTCTTTCCCTTTCTTCATGCCCTACTGATCTCTTACCAACATCTCTTCTGATTGAGTGACTGAGTTGTGTGATGGTTTTGTTGCCTTCCCCTTTGCCCTTTGGGCCTCCCTTCTCCAGAGAGGTCCCGGAAATTATAAGCCTCTATTATATAAGGAGTATATATTTGAACTTTTTAAGTTGCCTTTTTTTGGTCCTGATTTTTCTTTTTACAATACCAAAATAAAATTTATTAAGAAAAAGGGTCCTGTAGTTGGAGGGTTTGGTCTGGATATAGGAATTCGTGCCCTGCCGTTAAGGGCACTGTCCCCTAGGAAGGCGGGTCGGCCGCGAAATGCACGGAACTCGGAACTCGAATTCTTCACGGAGCTGAGGAACTGTCGGCTACCGGAACCTTCATTACCAGGGCCCTGTTTCCGCGGCTCAGCCGGCGCTCCGCCCAACGGAAGTGGCGGAGCCCGAGCTCTGCGCGAAGCGAGTTGAATCACCCTGGTGACGGGAGGGGCGCGGAGCAACGCCCTTTCCGCCGGAAGCGGGTTTCGGGGCCTCCACGTGCTGCCCCTCCCCCACCTCCGGCCCAGCAGCGGCGGCTCCCCTGCTGCCATGGAGCCCGCCGGCCTGGAACAGATCCTCCGGGAGCTGCTGCTGCCGGACACCGAGCGCATCCGCCGGGTATGGGGCCGGTGGGACCGGGCCAGGGCCAGCGGAGGCGTTGCGGGAACGGCTCAACTCTGACCCCAGGCTCTCCCCAGGCCACCGAGCAACTCCAGACCGCTCTTAGGGACCCCGCCTCCCTGCCCGCGCTCTGCGAACTGCTGGCCTCAGCGGGCGACCCTCAGGTAAGGTTCCTGCCGCTTCCTGCGGAGTTTCCTATAGTACGCCACATGTCAAGCCCCAGCTCCTGCCCTCGGCGACCCGGTCAGCACCTTCCTGCCCGGGCCCTCACGTGCCTGCTTCCTCGTCCCAGATCCGCCAGTTCGCGGCCGTACTGACCCGCAGACGACTGAGCACCGGCTGGCGACGGCTGGCGGCCGAGCAACGGGAGAGGTGGGTTGGGCCAGGGGTGGGGCGGGCCGGGCTGAGGCGGTTCTTGGGTGCCAAATACTTGCCACCTGTGTTCTAGCATCAAATCTCTGATCCTGACGGTCCTTCAGAGAGAGACGGAGTAAGTACCTATCTGCCTCCTCTCAGGGCCCTAACTGATTCTAGGCTGAGAGCTTCTCAGGGTTTCTGCCTTCTTTTTCAGCTCCAGGCTGGCTTTTGGGGGGCAGGGACTTAGGTTTTAGACCAGGGGTGGAGGAACGACTCTCAAGCTGTATTAAAGACGAAAGTTCTTGAGCGCGGGCTGTGATGGTCTGCCAAAGCCGAGTCGGAAGAACAGAACTGAAATTCAGCATGAGTGAGGTCACCCTCACCAGACTGCACGCCTACTGTGCTGCTAGTGTCCCTCTGAGACGTTTTCTGTGTCCCAACTTGGCAGAGGCCCTGTGCGCACACCTGGAGGTTTCTCTCCTGGCCACTCCGTGGAGGCAGGGCCATCGCGTACAGGGAAGGGTACTGGAGGGTGATTGGGGGTGGGGAATCTCTCCTGTTTGCAGGCATTCTGTGAGTCTTAGCCTGGCCCAGCTCTCAGCTACCGTTTTTCGAAAAGAAGGTCTGGAGGCCTGGCCTCAGCTCATGCAGCTTCTTCAGCACAGTATCCGCAGCCTCCATGTCCCCGAGAGAGAGGTACTATCACATGGTTGGTGGGAGGAAGGGACCCAGAGGCTGGATAGACCATGTAAGCTTTTCCCTCTCAACCCCTCTTCCTGGGCAGATGGGGCTTTTGCTGCTAAGTGTGGTGGTGACCTCCCGGCCTGAGGCCTTCCGACCCCACCACCGGGAGCTTCTTCGGCTTCTGAATGAGACCCTTGGTGATGTGGGCTCTCCTGGGCTCCTCTTCTATTCCCTGCGCACTCTGACCACCATGGCCCCTTACCTTGGCACTGATGATGTGGTGAGATGTGGGCCTTCACCTTCCCTGGCCCCCTACCCTCGGGCTTTCGTTTCCTCACTCTTGCGGGATGCAGAGCTACTTAAGATTCTTTCTCTGCTTTTTGTCCTGCCTAACAGTTGAGAGGGGATCCTGTGGGTGGCTGTGCCTAGGCTCCTCCTATGTGCGGGCTTCGAGGAAGCTGCTAGCTTCTGGGGCTGGAGATAAGGCTACATCGTGCTTTCTGTGATTTAGCTCATCTTGTGTCCTCCAGCCTCTCGTGCGAATGTTGGTGCCCAAGCTCATCGTGGCTGTGCAGACTCTGATCCCTGTAGACGAGGTGAGGACATTCGGGTAGGGGCTCTGTTGGAAGGAGGGTGCAGGAGCATTCAGCCTGGTCCACTGAAGAAGAGCATAGTAACCCCGAGACTTCTCTGTCTGGCAGGCAAAGGCCTGTGAGGCCTTGGAGGCCCTGGATGAATTGCTGGAGTCAGAGTTGCCCATCATCACCTCCCACCTCTCAGAGGTCCTCACATTCTGCCTGGAGGTGAGCCTGGGGTCGGCACTGTCCCTGCTGCTTGTTCTCCTGGGAGTTTCCTTGCCCGTTTCTGATTCGAGTTGGTCTCTGGGCAGGTGGCTAGAAACGTGGCCCTAGGTGATGCAATACGTGTGCGTATTCTCTGCTGTCTCACTTTCTTGGTCAAAGTCAAGAGCAAGGTGAGTGCCTTCTGACACACATCACCCCATCTCTATCTTCTTTTTCATCTCACTCTTGGAGCTTTCTGTCTATCTGGGGTTATGTAAAGTACCATAGCTAAGATGTTCCAGGCTGGGTCTGGACTCAGCCCAGCTCTTGGCTGGGAGATTGGGAATCTCCGCCTGGACCCCCTGTGGCCTGGAAGGCTGGAATTTCTAATGTGAGTCCGTCTTGGGAACAGATTCTCAGGGACACCATTCCATTCTCCCTTTTAAGGCGTTACTGAAGAATCGCCTCCTACCACCCTTGCTGCACACCCTTTTCCCCATCATGGCTGCCGAGCCCACCCTGGGTCAGCTGGATCCTGAGGATCAGGATTCAGAGGAGGAAGAGCTGGATGTTGGACTGGTGGGGGAGACGCCCAAGCACTTTGCCATTCAGGTGGGATGTGGGACAGGGGCCGGGGGCAGGGGTGTTAGGTCGTTGGGGGAGGTTGGGGGGCAGAGATGGAGTCCAGCAAAGTCTACCTGTCCTTTTCCAGGTCGTGGACATGCTGGCACTCTATTTGCCCCCTGAGAAGCTCTGTCCCCTGCTGGTAAGTGTGGCTTTGTCCTTGCAGTGCTCCTACTCCTGGGTTTGCCTAGTCTCCCGAGCTTGAGGATGTTTGGGCCCTGGTAGGTGTGGAAGGCCTATTGCCGCAGGAACAGGCAGGCTCGTGCTGGGGTTTCAGGAGAGTGCCATCTGCTCCCCTAGATGCCCATGCTGGAAGAGGCTTTGCGGAGCCAGAGCCCATACCAGCGCAAGGCTGGGCTCCTCGTGCTGGCAGTGCTCTCTGATGGAGCCGGGGACCACATCAGGCAGAGGTATTTGTTCCCCTGTCTCGGAGTTAGGGTGGGCCATGGGGAGGAGGACCACACTGCCCACGGCAGTCGTGGTCTCCGCTTGTCCTTTGAGCCTAGTCATCAATAGTGTCTGCTCCCACATTCAAGTGTTCTGGTTTGGAAGATACCCCAGCTGTCAGGGTCAGCGGGTGGTGCTCACCATCTGGTGACAAAAAGCCTTGGTTTTCCCAGGGGAAACAGCAGAATGGCTCAGCCCAGGGATCTCAGGTCCTGCCCCTCAGACTCCACCCTCTTGTCCCGCCCCATCCAGACTGCTGTCCCCACTGCTACAGATCGTGTGCAGGAGCCTGGAGGATCCGTCACAGGTTGTGCGCAATGCTGCGCTCTTTGCCCTGGGCCAGTTCTCAGAGAACCTACAGGTCAGCAAGGCCGATGTGGGCAGCCACTGTTTCAGAGTCCCCACCTGTCCCAGAGACCAGCTTCCCCTCAGCCCCATCCCTCAGGCATCCCTGCTGCCATCAGTACTTAGGTGCGTGCCTTGCAGTTGAGCTGACTCAGGCCGTCTTTCTCCTTCCCCCAGCCCCACATTCGCAGCTATTCCGGGGAGGTGATGCCACTGCTCCTCGCCTACCTGAAGTCCGTGCCTCCTGGGTGCACACGTCACCTAGCCAAGGCCTGCTATGCCCTGGAGAACTTCGTGGAGAACCTAGGTGGCGATGCCCTTTGCGGGTGTGAGGGAGGGGATGGGGCTGTCACTTTGGCTGAAGGGGGCAGGAGGTGCAGCTCCCCGAACCACTGCCCGTGGTGGGGAGAGGGATGTGGCAGGGCCACAGGGAGGGTCGGCCTGGAGGCAGGTAGGAGACCTGGGTTGGTTGGTAGAGGGGTGCCCTTTCCCACAGGGCCTGAAGTGCAGCACTACCTTACGGAGCTCATGGAGTATATGTTGCAGCCTCTGAGAAACCCCAGCAGCTCCCGGGCCAAGGAGCTGGCTGTGAGCGCCCTGGGGGCCATTGGTGAGTCGGAGGCAGGAGGTGGGAGCATGGGTTCACTCCGGGTGCCTGCGGCAGGTGGTCCCTGCTCACTCTCCAGCTCTGATTCTGCCCTTCCGTGCCGTAGCCACGGCTGCCCAGGCCTCCATACTGCCCTACTTCCCCACCATCATGGAGCACCTGCGGGAATTCCTGTTGACAGGCCATGAGGACCTTCAGCCTGTGCGGATCCAGAGCCTGGGTGAGCGAGGCACTCCTAGGCCGGCTTCCCAGTGCTGGGGAAGGGCAGATGCTCACCTGTCGTTCACGAGATCGCCCCGGGGCAGCTGCGCTCGCACCTTACCCAGGAGTAGAAGGGATTTCTGGATCCCCCCCACCCCCCCGCCCAGCTATCTCTGGTCCCTCAGGCCTTGGCCCTGCACACCTCTGGCCTAGTGCCTCATCCTGGTGCTAACCGAGCCCTTGCCTCTGCAGAGACACTTGGGGTACTGGTGCGAGCAGTAGGGGAGCCCATGAGGCCCCTGGCTGAGGAATGCTGCCAGCTGGGGCTGGGCTTGTGTGACCAGGTAGACGACCCTGACTTGCGGCGCTGCACGTGAGTGAGCCCTCACCCCGACCCCACCCAGACTCCAGTCCTCTTGTTCTGGACCCTGGGTTCCCCGGGCTCCCCCATCCTGTCTGGCTACAGCAGGTAGGACTATACAGCTTCCGTCTGTCTCCGCCAGGTACAGCCTGTTTGCAGCCTTATCGGGGCTGATGGGTGAGAGCCTCGCTCCCCACCTGCCACGAATCACCACACTCATGCTGTTGTCATTGCGTTCCACCCAGGGCATTGTGGTGAGCAGACAGGGTGGGCTGGGCCAGGTGGGGACGGCCAGGCCTGGGATGGGATCTCTCCTGGGCCCAGCTGAGCCAAAGTCCCTGCTGTGCCTCCCCATTCCAGCCTCAGTGCACTGGAAGCAGCACCTTCCTTCTGTTTGACGACGAGCACGGCGGGGAGGAAGAGGAGGAGTTTGTGGAGGAGGACTCAGAAGAGGAGGAGGACTCAGAGGTCTCAGGGTGCGGAGGCTGCCGTTCTGGTCTGGGGGATCCTGGCTTGGACAAGGGCCCAGGGCCAGCTCTGCTTCTACTGGCGCCTGATTGCTGCTGCCTCCCCATCTTACTCTAGGTACAGCGTGGAAAACGCCTTTTTCGATGAGAAGGAAGACGCCTGTGCTGCACTGGGGGAGATCTCTGTGAACGCCAGGTGAGCATCGGCCTCTCCTTGGCACAGGGAACCTCTCCTGGGAGCCCCTTCCCCATGGCGGTGTGTCTGTCCACAGTGTGGCCTTCCTTCCCTACATGGAGACTGTCTTTGAAGAAGTGTTCACACTGCTGGAGGTGAGTGGGGTGGGTGGGGTCTGGGGGCTGGGAGCTGTGACGGTCCTGCATGCAGCACACACGTCCTGCCCCTCCTCGTGCCGCAGTGCCCTCACCTGAGCGTGCGGAAGGCAGCCCATGAGGCCCTGGGTCAGTTTTGCTGTGCGCTGCACAAAGCCTGTCAGAGCTGCCCCTCGGAACCCAACACTGCTGGTGAGAAGGCGAGGCCGGCGCCCGGCTGGGGCCTCTGGAAGCAGGGGGTGGGTGGGGAGGGCGCAGGGGCTGACCAAGGCTGCAGCCAATCGTGTCCCCAGCTCTGCAGGCCGCCCTGGCCCGGGTGGTGCCATCCTACGTGCGGGCAGTAAACGGGGAGCGGGAGCGCCAGGTGGTGATGGCCGTGCTGGCGGCCCTGACGGCGGTGTTGCGTGGCTCTGGGAGCTTGGCGTTGCAGCCCCCTGGGCGGCTTGCTGAGATCTGCCACGCGCTCAAGGGTGTGCTGCAGAGGAAGGTGAGGGGCCGGCGGGCTGCAGGGTGAGGAGGTGGCCCAGCCTTGGGTGGGGCTAGCCGGAGGCTACCAGTCCAGCTTCCCCCTCCTTCCACCCACGGAAGGGAGAAGGGGCAGGAGAGCCCAGACTGAGCTGAGCGCCCTCTTCCTGCAGACAGCTTGTCAGGACGCCGACCAGGAGGAGGATGAGGACCAGGTAAGAGCTACGGGTGCAAACTGGGACCAGGCAGCCCAGTTGGTCTCCATGGGGCGGGGTGGACAGTGTGCTTGGCTTGGCCTGGGGGTACGGGGCTTGCTAAAAGATTGGTAGTGGCTCGGAACAACCAACCCAACTCCCGCTAAGGCAGTGGGTGTTCAAGGAAGGCTTCCTGGGGGTGGGGATTCGGGGCAGGCTTGGATTGATAGTGGGAGTAGGAGGACCAGGAGGGAAAGCTGGGCTGCAAACAAACCCAGCCTGGAAGGGGCCAGTCCCGTCAACCAAGGGCAGCCCTCAGGGAGACCACCTGCAGCCGTGGAGGAGTGCGGTGGGAGGCGCCCCCAGTCTCTGACCTGGCCCTGCAGGCTGAATACGACGCCATGTTGCTGGAGCATGCTGGCGAGGCCATCCCCGCCCTGGCCGCTGCGGCCGGGGGAGATGCCTTTGCCCCCTTCTTTGCCGGCTTCCTGCCATTATTGCTGTGCAAGACGGTGAGTGCTCTGTCCTCTGGCTTCGAGCCCCGTTCCGCCTGTGCCCCCTGTGCTCAGTTCCCCACTTGGTCCCAGTCCCAGGCTGACTCGCACTCCTCACCCCACCAGAAACAGGGCTGCACAGTGGCAGAGAAGTCCTTTGCGGTGGGGACGCTGGCAGAGTCCATTCAGGGCCTGGGTGCCGCCTCAGCCCAGTTTGTGTCCCGGCTGCTCCCCGTGCTGTTGAGCACTGCCCGGGAGGCGGACCCCGAGGTGCGGAGCAATGCCGTCTTTGGGCTGGGCGTGCTGGCGGAGCACGGGGGTCGCCCTGCCCAGGAGTATCCTCGGCTTGCAGGAGGGGGCCCAGATGGGGTTGGGAGGGTGTCCCTGGGGTTCAGGATGGGCGCAGTCTTCCCGTGTGCCTGTTCCTTGACTGTGGACCAGACACTTCCCCAAGCTGCTGGGGCTCCTGCTGCCCCTCCTGGCGAGGGAGCGCCATGATCGTGTCCATGACAACATCTGTGGGGCACTCGCCCGCCTGCTGATGGCCAGTCCCACGAGGAAACCAGAGCCCCAGGTGAGGGGTGGGGGCGTCAGGCAGGGCCAGGGAGCTGAGGAGGGTGCAGGGCAGGAGGCCAGAGTCTTCTGTGTGTCCAGGTGCTGGCTGCCCTGCTGCACGCCCTGCCACTGAAGGAGGATTTGGAGGAGTGGGTCACCTTAGGGCACCTCTTCAGCTTCCTGTACCAGAGCAGCCCAGACCAGGTAACCGCGATGCTGGGGACCTTAGAGGGGGCTTGATGCTCCAGTCTCATTGACGGGCAGGGTTGGCATCAGTTTAAGCTGCTCTGTTCAGCTTTCCTGTTGCTGTGCAAGGATTGGCAGCCAAGGCCTTTAAGGGGGGAGGAGGGGCTTCCTCTCACCGCGTAGCATTTTTCCTCAGGGAGGTTTCATTTCCACCCTCTGGTCTGAGCCAGAAGTCGCAGCTTTCCTAGGCTGATTTCCTAGAGCAGGCTCTTTGAGACTGTGCTCCATGGAGCCCGGGCCCTTTGGGCCCCCCCACCATCCTTTCCAGTCAGAGCAGCTCTGCTTTCTGAATGAGATTTGTCTGCAGCAAGTGGCTAGCTTTGGGAACGCTTGTCCCAGTGCTCTTGTGTCCATCACCTTTGTCTTGCATCTTCGCAGACTACTCTGTGGGTGGAGCTCCTGAGTGTCTGGGCTTCTTTTGGTCTTTAGGCCGTGATTTCAAATACCTTTGGTCATAGTCTCATGCTCTCCGAAAATCAAACGGAACACATTGCTACCACCCTGTTTCAGGGTTCTTCTCATGGTTCACGGTTGTTTGAGCAATGCTGATTAACAGCCCAGGTGGGAGACTGCCTCTTCGGGGCTCCTACCACCCACCCCAGCGCTGGGGCCCAGGGGTGCTTCTGCCCAAGTCAGCCCTTCTTTCCCCACAGGTTGTAGATGTGGCTCCAGAGCTCCTGCGCATTTGCAGCCTCATCCTGGCCGAGAACAAGGTCCCACCAGGTGACGGTGGCAGTTGTGGGCAGGGCTGGGGGGAGGTGGGGAGCAGCAGGGCTCAGGGGGCCTGGGGCAGCTAGGGGTGGGGGCCAGCCCTCCCCAGACTCCTCCCTCTTCACTCTCCACCCAGACACCAAGGCGTCGCTGCTGCTGCTGCTCACGTTCTTGGCCAAACAGCACGCTGACAGCTTCCGTTCAGCACTGGGCTCCCTGCCTGGCAACAAGGCCCAGGAGCTCCAGGCCATCCTGGGCCTCACCTAGACTGCGGGCTGCAGCTGGGCCAGAGAGAACAGAGCCTGCCCACACCTGAGACCAGCTCTCTGCCCAGTTGCAGCTCACGCCTTACCAAAGATTCTGGGCCTGGGCCTCATACCCACTTGGAGTCTCAGCCCTACTTGCTGTCTTACCGGGGTGTCTGCTAGGGCTGGGTCTGTCGTGCTGGGACAATACAAACGGAGTCATGACACCATCCTGTAATAAAGGCAGTTTATTTTCTTCTTGAACAGTAGCGCTGGGAGCAGGAAGGATAGAGACCCGTGTTCAGAAGTGAGGCAGGACACCGTTTACCATAGCTGGTTCCCTGGCAGCTTTGTAAATTGGCTCTAACCGCAGTGGAATCGGGGCCCTGGCTGGATCAGGAGGCGCCCATATGGCTCCTCTTGTTTCACACAAAGGATCTGCTGTGCAGCAAGCACTGGTCAAGAGGGGAGGAGAGGGTCCCTACAGCAACCGCTGGCCTGTGTGTCCACTCCCCACCCCCCACACAGGCACACACATTCCTCGCTCACCCAGGAGCAGGTAGAAGACCCGGGCGGCCACCTTACGGGGACTGAGAGGTGGCACCAGGCTGCTGAAGTCAGGCTCCCTCTTGGCCTGCAGCTCCCGTGCCACTGCCCTGTGGGGGTCAAGAACTGTGAGCTGAGGCTGCAGCCCAGGCCACCCACGGAGGCATGCCCTTCCTGGTACCTGTGCACAGCCTCCAGCGAGAGCGGCTCAGGCTCTGGGGGCAGCTCCACAGGCATCTCCACAGGCACCTCAGGGAGCTCAGGCACCACGGGCAATGCAGGGGCTTCTGGCTCCTCAGCCCAGACCCTAGGAGAACACGGGAGTTGGGTGGAGCAGGGAAGGTGGCAGCGGTGACAGTGACGAGGGGTACAGCCATCCTAGCTGGGGCTGCCGCTTACCACCGTTCTTCCGGGGGCACGAGGCTGATGCGGGCCTTCTCCTCCTCAGCCGCTTCTAGGGAGATCTCTGTCGGGGAGGGGAAGGTCCTGAGTGGGCTTGTCTGCATCTGAGCAGTTGGGATTTGGGGGCCACCTGGGTGCCAGAGCTGGCAGTGACTTGTTAAAAGTACCCAGGGGGTGGGGGGAGGGGACTGGAGAGACTCAGTCTGTGCTTCCTTATGTTAAGTGCGCTGACGAGAACTGTCAGCAGTTGGAGCACCAGTTTCCTGGGACAGTGGTCAGGGTGGTGGTCTCCACCGTCCCTTTTCCAGATACTTACCTGAAGGCAGCATGAGGGGCACACTGGGCTCCAGGGCCTCCCTCAGGACCTGGAGATGAGAGAAGGAGAACTAAGACCCCAAGCCATCACAGAAGCACCGGGGGCAGGGGTGAAGCAGGTCTAGCCCTGAACCAGCCTGGCTGGGACCTGGTGCCCATGGCTCAAGTGGGCAGAGAAAAGCAGGCTGTTGGAGCTCAGGCAAAGCAGGAAGGAGTGAGGGTGCCGTTACCTCGATATCGCTTGGAGTTTCAGCCTTTCTCCTTTCCTCCTCAGCTGCCGCCTCCCTCTCAGCTTCCTCTTCCTCAGGCGCCAGGGGTGGCCTTCTCCTGAGTGCTAGTGGGAGTGGCTGGGCACAGTGGGTCCAGAAAGCCAGCAGTTCTTGGGGTAGCCGGCCAGCTGACGACGGGGCAGCAGGGAGAGGGTTTGAGGCGTGAGGAACACCAGGAGTGAGGGACAGGGGTTCAGAGGATCCCACACACCAGCTCCCACCATTCCTCACAGTGAGTCGGGGTTCGGAACAGCTCTGCAGGGCTCGTGATCATCCTCTCAGGAGGCTGCACCATTGGCTGTGTGGTAGGAAAGGCCAGAAGGCTGGTTAGGAAGGAGCCACTGCTCCTTACCCACCTGCAGTGCCTTGTTCCAGGGCCTCTGGCCTTCTAGCTCTTTCAGGCTCATTCTCTGCTCGTTGCTAAAAGGACTTTCAACTGATGCCCTCGGATGTGCTAGATGGGGTAATGAAGTGGTATGTGGGCAAACCCCCAGCATGTGCACTTTGGGGGCTGTTCTCATGCCCCCCCCCCCACCCCGGGAGTTTAAGAGACCCAATGTGCACCTGCTTCCCTCCATCCCTCCAGAGCCTGGGCTGTACTCACACACTCCCGGCAGTGGGCTCTGGTTTGCATTTGTTCCAGGAATTCTTTCCGGGGTATCTGGGTCTCCCGGTCCCAGAATAATAAGCGGCGGCGGCGGGCAGGTGGGACCCTGGGAGGTGGGGAGACTGGGGGCCTCCTCCGCTGAGGGGGGAGGGGAGGTGGGAGCAAGGCTACCCGTTACTCCTTTCCCTGTGGTCCTCGTGGACTGCAGACATGCCCCAACCTGCCATCCCTAGCGGTGCCCTGGGAGAGGGTGCAGCTCCCACCCTGTATGAGATGCCCATCCCGATAAAATGGGGTGTGGACGGGGCACCTTTTACTAATTTGCTCAAAGGCCTGTGGAAGCTAGCAGTGGCCTTTGGCTTGGGGAAACTGAAAGTGGGTGAGCAGTTCTGGCAGAGGAGGGCGAAAAGGAGGCGGCTTGGAGGAGCATTACTCACCTCTGGGCTGGGTGGGGCTGGCAGACGCAGCTCCAGCGGGGGGGTTACCTCTGCAAAAACACTCGAGGTCCCAGCTCTGCCCCACACCCTTTGTCCTCAAAGCCACCCAGGCGAGATGCTAGAGTCCTCCCTTCAGCAAGTTAGAATACAGGGCCACTGTCTGCAGCAGCTGTACAGGGACCCCCGGGGTACTCACCAGGAAGTAGGGCCTCAGGCTCCCAGGCTGGTGGCTTCAGCGGAAGTGGCTCTGCAGCCTCCTCCACCCTGAGGGGAAATGGGCAAGAGAATGAAGATACCCTCCCAGCAATGACCCCTACCTGGCCCAGGGGTTCCTGCCCTTACTCTGGAAGAGCTAGAGGTGAGGGCGGGGGGATTGTGACCTCCCTCTCTGGGGCCCGGAGCTCCTCTTCGTACTCTGTGAAGAGAAGATCAGGGCTCAGAACACAGAAGAGATGGGAACGCTGCCCAGCCCAGACTGCCCGTGCCGGAGGCCTGACCATCCAGCATCGGGCGGGCCCTACGCGGCCACATGGACCTGCCTAGCCGACGTTCCTCTAACAAGATGGCTTCCTCCTCCTCTGCGATCAGCAGGTCCAAGTCTCGGCGGCTGATCTCTGGGAGGTCCCGTTCACCCTGTCAGGAGAGGGAGAACCAAGGTGAGGGGACTCAATTCCATTTCTGTCTGAGAGACATGCCACAGGGCTGGGCCAGACCGAGAAAGCCCGTGGGTGCTCCGGCGCTGGGGGCAGTGGTGGGGAAACGGAAGTGGAGAAGGCAGGACTCTGGGGGCAGAAGGAAGCAGATGCAGGGGGGCTGGGCCAGCAGAAGCAGGACTCGGGCCTCAGGCTCCATGTGCAGGGGGTCAGCTCACCTCAATCTTTAGCATACGTATGGGCTCCACCTCCAGGAGCGTGATGGCCTCGGGAGACGGTGCAGTGACCAGAATCCTTTCTGGAGAGGAGGGAAGTCACACCAGCCAGGTGTTCCTTTCCAAGTCCCCCCACCCATGTGGTAAGGCAAAAGCATGGACTCTGGAGTCAAGTCCACCTGGGTTCTAGTCAGGCCCCGGCCAGTCACTGGCAAGCTGGCCCAGGACACATCACTTAACTGCTATGGGCTTCACTTTCCTCATCTGTAAACTGGGGATAATAATTCTGATCTCATAGGACTCTTGTGAGCAGTAACGACATTATACACATACAGTGCCCCTCACAGGGCCTCGCTCCTGAAAGAAGCTCAAAGACAGTGATTTCTTCAGCTCTTAGACGTTCCTCTATCTCTCACCAAAGAGAAGGCTCTCTCTGCTCACCTGGCTCTATAGGAACTTCAGGAGGGATCTCTTCAAGAACTCTCTCTGGGGTCACAGCCTCTAGGAGGTGTTGAATCTTTGGGGAGGGATTGAGGACAAAAGATAGGGTTCAGCTTCAGCGCCCTGCTTCCCCACTTTCACAACCTTATTCAGACAATGGACTGGACAGTGGTAGCCCTTTATGCCTAATTCTGTGGCACTGACAGCAGCATGCAGTGAACCCACTCACCATCCGGTTTCCTTTCCTCCCGTTCCCGCCCCCACCCAATCATCTAGACTGTGTTCATTTGTCTGGGAAAGAAGTACTGCAGCCTTATGTCAAGTGTTGGGGACAGTGGGAACAGAAAAGATTCTCGATCTTAAGGACTATATATGGTCTAGTGGGGAGACGAGTTTGTATACGACCCCAGCAAGAGCCAGCCAAAGGATGCTGTACACCTGAAACTAGCACAACACTGTAAATCATCTACACTTCAATAAAAGCTGTTTGTTTTGAAAAACAAAATAAATTAAAGAGTCAACACAAAGGATAAACAAGGCCTTAGTGATGTGCTGAGTTCTAGAACATTTGGTTCTGGCCGGGAGTCGTATAAAGACTTGATAGAAAAGTGTAGAAATTGAGCGATGTCTGTAAGAGAATGGGGGGTGACCATTATGGCCTAGGGAAACAGCAAAAGTAAAGAAGTAAATGTGGCATCTTTGGGGCATAGGGGCCAGGCTGGGGTTTGGGAGCCAAAGATGCCCAGGAGATGTGCTGAGAGATGTCTAGGGATGGCTACCTCTAGACCAGGGTATGGAGAACCTTAAATGCTAGTATTCTGTTGGCAGTGGGGAGCCACTGGAGGTTCCTTTTTTTTTTTTTTTGCTGTACGCGGGCCTCTCACTGCCGTGGCCTCTCCCGCTGCGGAGCACAGGCTCCGGACGCGCAGGCTCAGCGGCCATGGCTCACGGGCCCAGCCGCTCTGTGGCATGTGGGATCTTCCCGGACCGGGGCACAAACCCGTGTCCCCTGCACCGGCAGGTGGACTCTCAACCACTGCGCCACCAGGGAAGACCTAGAGATGTCTTTGAAGGAAGGAAGTAACACTGTCTAAGCTGTAGGGGTGTTAGGAATGGATGGACAAGGACATGGGAAACCCAGTGCCGAGGGACACTGAGGGCGTGGATTGCGGGCTTGGCTCTTGGAATGGTGTGGAGACGAGAGCTGCCTCTAGGTTGGTCCTGAATAGGTAAGTGCAGCAGACTTGTCTGGATGGGTCCACCATGGCAATTGCACTGCAATGACTTCTGTGGGGCAGAGCTGGAGCAGGCTCCCATCCCACCCCCACCCAAGTGTCAGACTGGCAACTCATCGGTCTGAGGTGTCCAGGGGGAATGAGACCTACCTGAGGGATTTTGAAGGGACTGGGCAGTATGGGCTCCACAGACATCATCCCAAAAAAGGGGTCTGGAGCATCTTCCAGAGCCTCCATCCTGACCAGGTGATTAGGCAGCAGCAGGCTGGGTCTGAGGGAGAATGGGGGCTGTCAAGGACTGAGGCCAAGCAGGGAGGTTCCCTTCCAAAGACTGGGTGGTCCCAGTCCCAGGGACACACTCACAGTTCAGTCTCCACCATATCAATGCGGATCCGCAGCTGGGCCCGGTGCAGGCGCTCCAGGATGTGCTGGATGTCCTCTGAGGGCAGGGAGGACAAGATAGGGTGCCAGCCCATGGGAGGACCGCTCAGCTCTGCCCCACCTCAGAGCCTTCTAGCCTTACCTACAAGGTACTGGCATTGTTGAGAGTAGACCCGAATGACGCCGATCTGGAGCTGGGCTGAGAGATAAAGGGAGAAGCGGGGCCGCGGCAGGCCTGGCAGCGGGGGCTGGACTCGTACCAGCACGTAATTGAGGATTTCCTCGCTGGGGGAACGATGCACCCTGATCACCGCTGCGCCAAAGACCAGCCCCACAGCCCAGCGTAATCCATCCCCTAACCCACAATGGCCCCAGGCCCCTCTTTCCTTTTCTGGGCCTTACCAGGTCTTCACCACGTTCACCTTCAGGTATTCACGCTTCACCAACCGGGTGCCGCGCGTTGCCGCCAGCCTGGAAGAAGGACGAGGAGTGAGAATGGAGGAGAAGCCCTCAGGCTGGGATCCCTGGGCGCCCCTCCCGGTGCGCCCACCCTGGCTCAGCCCTCCCTTACCAGATGGTGGCGAAGCAGCCGGTGTGGCGCTGAAGCACGCTGGGATAGTAGAACATGGTCGCTCCGGGGTTGCACCCTCGTCTACACCACTCTTCCGTTCGGATCTCAGTCCGAATTCTTCAGGGCACAGGATTTCCCAACACCCGTCGGAGAGAAGGATGTGGACAAGCAGCGCAGCAAGTGCACCCAGAATGCCAAATAAACGAACCGATAAACGATGGGTGGATAAACGATTAAGGGGATAAGTAAATGGAGACGCACACTGGATACACAGGAGCAGGGACACTCTCTCCGTGCGCCCTGAGCTGGTTCGCACGCTGCGTGGGTGCTTCGTACTTACTGGAGCCTCGCGGCTTGGGTTGCAGACTTGGAGATGCACAGCTCCGCGACGGGAAGCCCGAGTTGCGACCCAGACCAGGTCCGGAGGGAGAACGGGTGTCCTCCGTAGAGAAGCCGGTCTCTCGGCCTTTGCACAGCTTCGGCCCCTGCCCGGTCCCGAGGCTGCAGGGCTAGATCCCGCCGCAGGGAGCGCGTGCTCTGGTACTCTGCGCCTCCCTCCTCATTAGATGGCGGCGGCCCCCAAAGCAGCCAATGGGGAGCAGGGTCAGCTTGGGGGCACTGGCTGCAGGGCGCCAAGTAGGCTGCCTGGTTGGAGGCCACAGGGGGCTCCCGAGGCAGGCAGCGAACCAATGGGAAGAACCCTGCACGCGCGGGGGTGGGGGGTGGGGGGCGGGGGGGGCATTGTGAGGTGTCCCGACCAATGGGCTCTCGTCCTCGCCTGGGCAACAGGGGTTCCTCAGAGGTGCTTCTCTGCGGACCAATGAGCGGGGAGCAGACCCCAGCCTCGCCTGCAGCGAGCGTGGTAACAAGGGTGCTTCAACTACCGGGGAGGTTGCAGCATGCCAAGGGCAACCGCCACGCCCTGTTTGGGGCGCCTGACCTGCGGTTAGACCTTGCCTTTTCCCCCAAATCCCACCGAGTAGCAATTGGTTGGTCCGCCTTTGTTCCCAGCCTAGGGGCTATGGTGAGCTAGGGAGGTAGAAACGGGTATGAGGTGGCCTTGGAGCCGCCCCAGGTCGTTGGGGAAGAAAGACCTCACAGGAAGCAGCGAGGGCACGGGCCGGGTCATTTCCTAAATCTGAACAGTTTAGGTTGTGGCATTCCTCACCTGGCTGTTGTGAATGTTTTCCTGGCTGAGACTTCAGTTTTGCTGGATGCAGGGCATACTTCTCGGCGTACAAAAGCTGTTTTGTCTCAAAAATTCTTTGTGTAATATAAGTTGTATGGTTGTAGTTACAAATATCCCATTCCCCATGCCTCCTGCCTTCGCACAGCCATTTCTTTGGCCTAGAATATCCTTCCCAGTCTTGACTCCAGGGCATGCTTCTGCCTCTTTATTAAGACTCAGCTCTTCACACCATACACAAAAATAAATTCAAAATGGCTTAAAGACTTAAATAAGACATGACACCATAAAACTCCTGGAAGAGAACTAGGCAAAACATTCTCAGACATAGACTGCAGCGATATTTTCTTAGATCCGTCTCCCAAGGCAAAAGAAATAAAGCCAAAAATTAACAAATGGGAGCTAATCAAAATTAGAAGCTTTTGCACAGCAAAGGAAACCATAAACAAAAGGAAAAAACCTACCGAATGGGAGAAAATATTTGCAAACGATGCGACCAGCACAGGCTTAATTTCCAAAATATACAAACGGCACATACAACGCAATATCAAAAAAAACAAAAAACCCAATCAAAAAATGGGCAGAAGACCTAAATAGTCGTTTCTCCACAGAAGACATACTGATGGCTCTCACAGGCACATGAAAAGATGCTCAACATCGCTGATTATTAGAGAAATGCAAGTCAAAACTATTTATTTTACTTTATTTAAAAATATTTATTTACTTTGGCTGCATGCAGAATCTCTTAGTTGCAGCACGCAGACTTCTTAGTTGAGGCATGCAGACTTCTTAGTTGTGGCATGCAGACTCTTAGTTGGGGCATGCATGTGGGATCTAGTTCCCTGACCAGGGATCGAACCCGGGCTCCCTGCATTGGGAGCATGGAGTCCTACCCACTGATCACCAGGGAAGTCTCCCCAAACTATTAATACAATAAGGTATCACCTCACTTCAATCAGAATGGCCATGATTAAAAAGTCTACAAACAATAAATGCTGGAGAGGGTGTAGAGAAAAGGGAACCCTCCTACACTGTTGGTGGGAATGTAAATTGGCATAGCCATAATGGAAAAAAGTATGGAGGTTCCTTAAAAAACTAAAAATAGGGACTTCCCTGCTGGCTCAGTGGTTAAGAATCCGCCTGCCAATGCAGGGGACACAGGTTTGATCCCTGGTCCAGGAAGATCCCACATGCCTCAGAACAACTAAGCCACATGCCGCAGAACAACTAAGTTGTGCGCCACAACTACTGAGCTTGCACTCTAGAGCCCGTGAGCCACAACTACTGAGCCTGGGTGCCACAACTACTGAAGCCCGTGCGCCTAGAGCCCGTGCTCAGCAACAAGAGAAGCCACCGCAATGAGAAGCCCGCACACCACAACGAAGAGTAGCCCCCACTCACCACAACTAGAGAGAGCCCGCGCGCAGCATGGAAGACCCAACGCAGCCAAAAATAAATTAATTAAAAAAAAAAACTAACTAAAAATAGAGCTACCTATGATCCAGCAATCCTGCTCCTGGGCATATATCTGGAAAAGACGACAACTCTAATTTGAAAAGACATGTGCACCCCAATGTTCATAGCAGCATTATTTGCAACAGGCAAGATGTGGAAGCAACCTAAGTGTCCATCAACAGATGAATGGATAAAAAAGATGTGGTACATATATACAATACAATACTACTCAGCCATAAAAAAGAACAAAATAATCCTTTTGCAGCAACATGGATGGACCTAGAGATTATCATACTAAGTGAAGTCAGACCGAGAAAGACAAATATTATATGATATCACTTATATGTAGAACCTAAAAAAGAACACAAATGAACTTATTTACAAAACAGGAACAGACTCACAAACATAGGAAAAAAACTTACGGTTACCAAAGGGGAAAGGGGAGGGAGGGATAAATTAGGAATATGGGGTTAACAGATACACACCACTATATATAAAATAACCAATAAGGACATACTGTATAGCACAAGGAGCTATATTCAGTATCTTGTAATAACCTATGATGGAAAGAATCTGGAAAAATACATAACTGAACCACTTTGCTATACATTTGAAAGTAACACAATATTGTAAGTCAACTATAGTTTAATTAAAAAAAAAAAAAGACTCAGCTCTTATTGCAGCCAAGCTGACCCTATTTTATTTTGTTCCTTCAATCCGGGAACTCTTGAGAGGTTCTTGTTTTTTCCATTAGTGCCTGAAACTTAGCTCAGCAAATGCTTGTCAGAGGAATGTGCAATTGCCCTAAATTTACCACCACAGAATATCAAGGCTGAACGGGATTTCAAAATCTAGTCCAAGACTTGCCTTTACAGATGAGAAAACAGAGGCCCATATGGACTGTTTGTTCCAGACCACACAGCTCCTTAGTGGCAGCCTGGTTGGGAACTCTGTTCTTTTGAATTCCAGTCTTCCCAATCCCTATTCCATGGTGCTTGGCTAAATTGGTTTCTACATGATACTTACAAATTGTTTCGATCACTGTACATATATTGTCAGTGTTCACAAGTGTTCACGCTGGGGCACAAATATGATAAAGTGGGGACACCTGCCCTTAAGGTGCTTAGGACCTAGTTTAAGAGATAAAGGACACAGTAATTTGCTCATTCATCTGTCCATTCATTCAACAAGTATTTATTACATGCCTACCATGTGCCAGGCACTACTCTAGACACTGGGGATATAGCAATGAACAAAACAAGTCCCTGTTCTCATGGAATAGGGAAGGAGTGACGATAAACAAGTAGACAAATAGAAATGTGTGAAGTGGTAATCAGGGCTATGAAGAAAAATGAGGCAGCATAAGAGAATAGAGAATAGTGAGGGCTGCTATTCGGGTTGGGTGCTCAGGGAAGCCCTCTCTGAAGAGAGGGGGCAGGTCATGTGCTTACCTGAAGGAAGAGTGTTTTAGACAAAAGAACCAGCAAGTGCAAAGGTCCTGAGGCAGAAATGTCTGGTGGGTTCAGGGGACCTGGAGCAAAGTAACTGAGGAGAAGAATAGCAAGGGGTGCGGTTAGAAAGGAGAATGGGGCCATATCACCTTGAAGGCCATTGTAAGGATTTGGGCTCTTACCCTGAGTGAATTGAAAGCCAATGGAGGATTTCAAGCAGAGGAATGACATGATAAGATTTATGTGTTAAGAGGATCTCTTCTGTGTTGAGAATGGGCTGAAGGTGGACAAGAGTGGAAGCAGAAAAGATGTGGAAGGAAGCAGAAAGAAGAGGTGTGAGAGATGATGGTGTTTGAACCAGTCTTGGTTAGGGAAGCAGAGTCAGATTCTGGATAGATTTTGAAGGAAGGAATGATAGGATTTGCTGATGGGTTGGATGTAGGGTATAACAGAAAATGAAGTGAAGGTGCAGGAGGGATTTCAGCAGGGCCTGTGCACCTGCACACTCAGTACCCAATTTCCTCACTGCCTATGCAGATGCCTGTTGGGGCTCCTGGCTTCTCAGGATGACAATGAGGAAGGTCCAAGGAGGCAGAAAGGCTCAAAAGCAGTGAAGTTTGTCAGGTGAGACAGCAAGAAGTTCCTCAAGAATCTAGACATCCAGATTTGATCATGTCAGTGAGCCACTCAAAGCTTATAAAAGTGACATGACAGGAAGGAGCTGGTCTGGGAGGCTACCTCTCCGCCAATTTGGTGTCATGTACGGGAAGCGGGAAGCTGGAGGCTGTGGCAGTCGGGTTAAGCGATGAACTAGTCTGGTGGAGATGAGTGTAGGATGAGGTAGGATGACCGGTGGCCTTGTGAAGAAGAACTACCAGTTTGGGAGCAAGATAAACACGGGGCAAGGGAGACTGGTGTTGGTGGATCCCCTGGGATCCCAGCAGACAGAGTGCTGGTGATGTGGCAGTCTAGGCCATGTTGTCTGTCATGGTGCTCAGGTAGAGTGAGGAGACCCGTTTGGGAGCAGCCTTCAGTTGGGGTGACAGTGCCCCAGGTACCGGGAGAAGAGGCACCAGGGCATGGTCTGCCCAGGGCACAGGAGGCTCAGCCACTCTTCCCTCTGATTTCCTCCCCTGCCAGGCCCCAGGGCCTCCAGCTCATCATTTCAGGTCTGTTCATTGAGACCTCCAGGCCAGAGTCCAACCCTAGGCGGAATCAGAGCCCTCTAGCCAAGGACTGTGGACACCGGATTTCCCTTATGAAGGTGGCTACAGTGGTCATAGGCTCAGTGCCCCTCTTTTTGGCTGACCCCAACCCTCTCCCTAATCCTGGTTGCCTAGAGGGTACAGAGAGCCAGGCCCAGAAACCTGAAGCTTCCTAGCCCAGAGAGCTTGCTAGCCCGAACCTGTGTCTGGAGGAGAGGAAAGAGGCCCAGAGATGCCAGCAGGAAGAGAACCCGAGTGCCCTGCCCTCAGGTTACATCCCCATCATCTCTCTGTGACCCTGCTGCCTTCTCTCAACAAGTCCGATGCTGATTCCTTTTCAATAAAATTTTATTTTCAATCCTTAGTGAAGATCTAAGAAGAAAATATAAAGTGCTAGGTTTTAGGGTTGCGGGCAGAGGGAAAGGCCCCGAGTTCGCGCCATCTGTACTTGCCCAGTTCAGTTCCTCAGAGACGAAAGAGGGTATATCTCAAAATTAAAAAAAAAAAAAAAAAAAAAAAGTCATCCTTGTGTTCCCCACCAACCAAGGTCTATGAGGAGTTCAAGGACTAAATCACCCAGACAACCGATGAGAATGATCACCGTGGGAGGCAGGTCGAGAGCGTGGAGGAAGAGGCTCTCTCAAAGCAGACAGGTGGAACAGGGAGAGGAGAAGGAGGCTGGGTCCTCCAGGCTCTGCACCAGGGACAGGATGGCTGCCTGATCCTCTGGAGTCTTCTCCAGTAAATGTCGGGCAAAGGCCTGCTCCATCTGCACGAAGAGGTCGGGAGAGGGGGTTGTGAGCACGGCAGGCAGGGCCGGACACTACGCCCAGGGGCTCTTTCCCCGGGAGGCCCTCTTCCTCAACACCCCACTCCCATGCAGGCAGGCTGTTCTTGCCCTATCCCGACTCACCTGCACTGTGATAACACTCTGTGGGGTGTGGTTGGGGCCAGGGCTCTCCTCCCAGAAATTCAGTGTCACCTGGAACTCGGGTGCGGGGCCCAGGCCCTGGAAGTACCTGGCCAGGTCTGAGAGAAAAGGTCAAGAGTTGGAAGAGAAGACAGAGGGTCTCAGGCAGGGAGGGATTGGGGAGGATCCCATAATGGAGAAAGAGGGGTGGCAGTGGGGCCACTCAGAGACCAAGGCCAGAGCAGGAGCCTCGGGGTGGTGAGGCCGTTGCCTGGTGCCAGGGGAAATGTTAGGAACTGAGCTGCTACTCGCCTGTGGACAAATAGGGAAAGGGGCCACCTTTTGGAGGTAGCCACTCGTCACACAACCTGAAACCTGGGGGAGCTGGGGGAGCTTAAGAGTCCTCTCAGCGGCAGCCCTGGCTGCTAACACAGTTGTGCCACACCTCTGTTGCCTGCTCACAGCCTCCCTGCACTAGGGCACCCCGTGGCCCTGGGTCCCCTATACTCCAGGCCCTCACTCCCGAAGTCCAATTGACAGTGGAATGGAGGCAGGAAGTGGGATTCCAAGCATGGATGGGAGAGGGGCAAGCTGAGGGGCGGCTGAGCGGTAGGCGAGGGCACGTGATGCACACAGTTCTCGCGAATGTGTGAGTGGTCGCTGGGCAGGTGTGTCCAGTGGGGGGTGCCACGAGGCGCGCCTTCCCATGATTACTGTACGCTCCCGTGTGGTGGTGCTCCCGAGGCGCGACAGCCTCGTGCTGGGCTTACCTGGTCCTCATCTTCCACGGCCTTGGCTGGGGAAGGGGGGCTGCCAGGGCTGAGCATTGCACGAGTGCAGGGGCCATGCCTGGGCTGTGACGGGGGATGTGCTGGAGGGAGCGCAGGGTGGTGGCCAGGCCCATGGAGGGGGAACAGAGGTGGGGGAAGGGGCTCAGGGGCTTGGTGGGAGCAGCCTCACCTCTGCAGAAATAGGCGGTTCTGAAGAGCTCCACGCACTGGTTGCTGGGCAGCAGGTGCGGGCCTGGACCAGGTGGAGCCTGGGGTGCGTTCCAGGAGATGGGGATGGGGCAAAGGCGCTGCACAAAGAGGCCTCGGGAGTTGCTGGCCACCAGGACCCCTCTCTTGAGCTGGCTCAGCAAGCGCTGGGTGGGCTCTCGTGGGCCGGGTTTGGGAAATATCACCTGCTCCATGCCGCACTGGGAGCGCGAGGGCTCAGCCACGAGGCGGCAGTCCAGGCTCTGCACCTGGGCCTCACCCACCACACGTCCATCGTAGATGAAGGTGAGCAGCAGAGAGTAGTCTGTGGACAAAGAAAGGCCAGCTGCACCGGTGCCCCTCCCCAGGGGCTCACTGGCCAGCAAGAGGCTCTGGAGAAATGAAGAGGGGCTTCCTGCAAATCCAGCATCCTCATTTTGCTGGCGAGGAACGTGAGGCTCAGAGAGAGAAACCAGGTAAGGGCTGGTGAGGACCAAGCAGGACCAAGCAGGCCGCAAGGTGGGGGCGGCAGCTGCACCTTCTAAGGATAGAGAAGGCGCCCTCCCTCCTCATCCTCCTGCCAACCCTCGGCAGCCCAGAGGGCTTCCCATCATACTTTCCCATCACTCAGGAGAAGAGCTAATACACAGATTCTCACTGAGGCCTTAATGGCCAGGGCCTTACAGTTTACAAGAGGGTCCCAGAGATCAGTCCTCTACTTAACCCACAGAATCAATGTCTCAAAGTGGATTTCCAGGGAACACAGCATGTAGGGGGTATTTTTGAGAAGTGAGCTGTTTGGAGTGGTGGCAGGTGCACTGCCTAGAAACCAGTGCCTCTGAGTAAGGTGGCCCCGGTTTGCTGCAAGCCCTGACAGATTAGATACATATGTAGCCAGAGGAGGACAAGGGAGGATGGGGGCAGGGGTGAGTCAAACGCCAAGTACCTGAACCTGGAGGGGGCAGAAGCTCTGGGTACACCAGATCTCCTTGGAGAGGGGCCTCAGCTGTGTCCCTACCTGGGGGGGAGGCAGAGGCACTGGTCATTCAGAGTGGACTGGGGAGTCCAAGGGCCAGAGGCTGTGGCATGGAGGATAACACAGGAGGCAGGGCACTTGGTACCTTCCTGAAGCTCAGGGCTGTTGCTGCTGCTGCTGCTCCCGGAGTCTGAATAGGTTGTTCCCCCACTGGTCTCCACCAGCTCCTACAGACACAGTTTCTATCGTTGGCCCATCTCTCCCCCAGGTACTGTTCTGCCCTCAGGTCCACCCGGTTCCCTCCCCAGCTCTCACATTTTTGAGGGGGTCCTGGAGCAAGGAGGGGCTGAGTATGCAGTTCTTCGTGGTAACCTCGTCCTCCTTCCTCTCAGAGGACACAGAACTGTGGTGTCGCTTTGATGGTGATTTCTGGGTCCCTGGCTGAGCTGTGGAACGTTGAGAGGGAGAGGATGGTCAGAGCCTTAAGTGGGCACAGAGGGAAGGGGAGAGGTAGGAGGCAGTGAAAGGATGGGCAGGACTGGCAGGGAACCTGCTCCCCAAGGACAGGGCAGAACTCTGACCGAGGGGCCTGGAGGGAGGCCACCACCCTCCCAGGAGGCGCAGGGCTCCATCCTTCCTCCCCAGGCTGCTGATTCTAGGAGTGGCGGGGCAAAGGGACACCCACCGGGGAGGGTTCCAGGTGGCAGCAGCCGGTACACCTTGTAGGGCTCAGCCCCATCCCTGTGGCCATTCTCAGGAACCTCCTGGAACTCAGAACTCTTGTTCAGAGCACAGCGCAGACGAGTCTTCCAGATAGCAGGGCCTTCCGAGTCCCCATTCTTTCCCTTATACGTTGCCCAGGCCTAGGACACAGCAGAAGTAAAGAAGAGGCAGCATGTTGTGGACTGCAGATCCTTTACCAAGGCTGGCTTCACGGATGTGTGGCCTGAGCGCTCACACAGAAGGGCCTCTGCTAGGTTTATGCTCAGCTATTGCCACCTTGAGGTCCTTACTAAGGTTTGCATTTTCATCTTGCATGGGGCTCTGACAATTACGTAATGTAGCTGGTTCTACCCTGCAACCTCCCCTTTATCTGAAACCCAGGTGGATGTAAGCGCTTGAGGGTGACAGTGCCAGTGTATATTCCATCCCTCCCTCCAAGGGGCTGGTTTCCGGGCCTTTCACCTTGAAGAAGGCGGCATCCTGATCCTCCCGGAAGTCCTGCTTGCCTGCGTGCTTCCAAGGAATCCGGAACATGGTCTTGGCCGCATCTTCCCAGCACACTCCTGGGAACTGCCCGCTCTCCACCTGCTCCACCACCCAGTTCCGGAGCTTCCGGGTGCAACGTGGCCTGCCTGATGCCATCCTGGGGATAAAAGCAGCAGGAAGTGTCAGGGGAACTGATACTTTGGGAAGAGTGAGATCCTGGCCCTTGGGGTTGGATTCCGGCAAGGGCCCCTAGAGATCTCATCCATCTTTTTGTCTCTATAGATATAATCTCAAACTTCTGAGGCTGAATTGTTTCATTTCTGCCGTCACTAGCGATGACCAAAAATACTTTCTTTTTAACAGCCCAAGCTGTGACATCTAGAAGGGAACCTTAGGCATTGGTCTTAATTTTAAGGTTTTTCAGGAATCTATCATTCCCTTGGTGTCCTGCTCCTGGTGAGAGGCCCTGTCTGGATCCCCAAGTATTTACAGACACAGTGGCTGCTTGTGAGATGCCTCTTCAACCCTCTTCACTCACCACCCCCACAACCTATCCTTCGATGCCCCCCAACCTCCCCCGCCTTGTCCCAGGGGTAGGTGGGGCAGGGAGCTGGGGGCAGGGAGCTGGGGGCAGGGGCAGGGGCAAAGCTGTGGGCGGGCGGAAGTGGGCAGGACCAGGAGGCAAGAAAACAATCAGGGGAGAGCAGCAGAGTCTTCTTCCCCAAACCCGGTAGTAGGTGCCCCTGTCCTTTGCCTAGAGGGCTTGGGACACTGGCCTCCCCATCAGTCTTTCACTCACGCCAAATTCCAGCTCCCCGGCTCACAGGCCTTCTGTCTATTCCTCAGTCTAGCAGAGGGGTCCCCAGGAGCCTCTACCCACCACCTCCAATCTAGCCGGGCCTTCCCACCTAGACCCAGGCTGACACCTATTTTTGGTTAATCTTACCTGAGCTGTTCTGCAGGCTGTCCCAGGGCTCAGCCGACCTCAGCTCAGCTCCTGGCTAGGCAGCTCCTGGATCTCTCCGCCCCTTTCTACAGTCCCCACCCTAAGTTTCAGTTCTGCTCCAGGGAGGTTCTTTTCCCCGAAATCACGTGGTCTCCGAGTTGCAGGGTAACTGGTTACCACTAGGGGGAAGCAGCATCTGAGAATCTTATCGTAGGAATCCTGCGGTCAGAGTCTGGAGGAGGGACCTACTGCCTCAGGCTCATTCCCCTTCCTCCCTCAAGATACTCTTTGCTTGTATCAGACCACCTCTATGACACTGCTGCTTCCCCAGGGAGGCCGCAGTGTTCCGGAGTCTAGCCTGGGGCCTCTGGATAGCTCTGTACCACTTGTGCATCTGTGTTCCCCCACGATGCCTGCTTGATACCTACTAGGTCACCCCCAAATATCAGCTGAATTCAATAAAAGAAGAAAGGATGCAGGGAAAGAGGAAGCCCAGGCCAGGTGGCTGGATGGGGAGGGCTGCCCTTGGCCTCCCACAGCATCAATTGCTTCTGCCTGAGTCCAGAGAGGGTCAGGTGGCAGGCTGCAGGGGGCCTTTAGCAAAGCTCTATTCACACACACCCCTTTCCCTGGTGCCCCAGGATGGTGGGGTCAGGAAGCAAGAAGGACCACCAAGAAGCCTGGGCAAGGAAATGCCTCTTTATTGGTGCTGGAGGTGTTCCCGGGGAGTCAGATCACGGGACCTTCATTGGGACCCTTGCCCTCAGCTACTTCCTCCTGCGGGGGATACTCTGTCCCAAGGGCACCTCTTCTATCAGCTTCTGTAGAAGGAGAGAGAAGATGATGATACTGGAAGCCTGGGGCTCAGACACAGTCTGGACAGGGGACTTCTAGAGAGTGGGGTCAGAGGTGAGGCTGGGGGAGGCTTTACCTGTAACAAGCGGGCGTGGTAGGTGGCGGCATCCTCCCCAGGCAGCGGCTGGGGGCGCACATGCAGGTAGCGCTCGGCAGCCGTCTCCAGCTCCTCCACCTCATACAGGCTGGCTGGGTCCAGTGAGTGGGCGTTGATGAGGCTCACAAGGTACTCTTTGTAGTGCGCCCTGGGGAGATGAGAGGGTGGAATATTGTTCTTCTGAAGTTTGACTGATATCAACTGAGTGTGTCCAGCACTGTGCTGGGCACTAGCATACTCAGATGAACAAGACCGACACCCCTCGCCAGTTGCTCTTGTGGGCCCTTGCCAATCTGTGCACACCACCTTTCTGTGCCCTCGCCTAGAGAGGCCCCTCCCTCCCACTTCTTGCAGGACCTACTGCTTGCAGAGACCCACTCTTCTGCCCAGGCACACCCCCAGTGCTCCTGTGCCGCCGCCGCCGTGCTCCACGCCCTGCCTGGCACTCACTGGCAGAGGCCGGCATAGCCAGCAGGAGTCTCCTTGCCGCAGGCTTCGTCCCGGAACCCGTTGGGAACTTCCTTCTGCTCCATCACTCGGCAGCCACCTAGGGGTAAGGGAAGGAAGGGTCCCTTTGTCCGGAGGGGGCCACTGACCACGAAGGCCCAGGAGAACTAGGATATGGATGGAGGCACGGGAGGTAGCCTCTAGGGAGGGGACTGAGGACAGGAGCCCCTGCTCTAACAGCTGTGCCAGAGATGCCACCGTGCAGACCACTTCCGACACAGAAGCAGGGACCTTGCTGTCCCTGCTTTTAGCCAAGCTGACTTCTGGCCCATATAATCATATACTCCCTTGAGACAGCTCTTTTGGTTGTGATTTAGCTCTTGCGAGGTTAGCTTATTCTGTGAAGGTCTTACTCTACACAGATGGTAAGAAGTGGGGCAGATTAGAATCATATATAACATCTTTCTGTTGCCCTCATGGAACCTTAAACAGTGCAACTAGTAAGTCTTTAATTAAATAGTCATTGAGTTAACTAATGAATCACTATCCTTTGGGAATGGGAGAATAAAATTAGCATCGAGGTGCCAGGCGCTTGAATGTGGCCTCACATAAAACAGCTTGGCTGCAAGGTGGATATGGTCCCCACTTTACAGAGGAAGAAACAAGCCTGGGGAGGCTGAGTCACCAAAGAGCACAACAAGCAAGCACAGGATGGGCCTGCGTCCTGGTCCAACCCCAGACCCAAGCCTCGCCTTCATCCATCACACAGGGGGAGCCCAGCCCCTCCTCTTGCCTTCTCCCAGGCCCGACACTCACCTCCAGGCACTGCCCGGGCCCCCGCTGGGGGCTCTGTGTTGAACATGACGTTATTGTCCTGAGGAGGGCAGAAGGATGGGCGTTAGCTTCCCTTGGTGCCAGCCTGCTGGATTTCTCGGCATCCAGGCCTTTCCCTTCCTGCCACCCTGTGCCCTGCCTCCTCTCCTGGGTGACTGGCAAACCAGCCAGGCTGGCCGCCCCTGACCTGAAGCAGCTTCTGGAGCCGAGGAGCCGTCCAGTCCCGCAGGTAGAAGAGGCAGTCGCGGGGGTGGTGGCCATGCAGGGACTTCTTCACCCTGCAGTTAGGGTCTGGACATTTCTGGCGGAAACCCAGATGGGAGAGGGGAAGTTGGAGACTGTTGGGGTCCTGGCCTCTCAGGAACCCCTGCGTGAGGGGTGTAGGGGTGGGGGAGATGAGACATTGGAGGGTCTGGAGCAAGCAGAAGGGGAGAGAGGACAGAGAGGTGCTTTACCCCCCACTGTTCTCTTCTTCCCCTGGGTGTTCCTCAACGGCCTCCACCCCTCACTCCCTCACTCCCGATGGCAGCCCCACCCAGCTAGCCCTTCCATCCCCGTTCTCTGGGCTCACATTCTTGGCGTAAAAGGCATTGTAGCAGCCACTGCAGAACTGGTGGCGGCACTGGGTGCAGTGAAAGTGCATGCAGCCTCCTCGGGCCAGTGCGTACGAGAACTTGCACTTGGGGCAGTCTGCAAGGGACAGCAGGTCAGGGTTCGGGCTGCTACTGCTCCTCAGGCCCTCAGGAAGAGAGCCGCTGGCAATGAGAGATTACTGGGCAAACAGGCAATCTTACCTATGCCATTTTCCTGAAGGTACATCGCCAAGCCCTGGGCCTGGTACTCCGGGTCATTGGTGCGTTTCCAGTTCTGGAAATCTTCACAGCTCCGACCTCGGTGCTGCTCCTCCCACTGCCAGAAGGAAACGAGCTTCCCATGAAAGCTCTATCCTAGGCCCTTCTTGCTGGCCCCTCCACTCAGATCCAGCGGTCCCTGGCTTAGTGTATGGCACTGCCATCCACCGTTTGCTCAAATCCCAAACCGAGGGGCCAGCCTTGGTTCTCTCATCTCTTCACACCTGAAACACTCACCAGCAAGTCTTGTTTCCACCACCCAAGCCTAGCTCAACCCTGTCCTTTTCTTCATCCCTACTCTGACCACCTTTACTCTGGGCCAGGTCAGGTCTCGTCTCGATTCCTAGTCTCTATGCCTCCACTCCTGCTCCCCTATGGTTCAGCCTCCACCTTGCAGCCAGTGTGTCTTTGAACATGTAACCAACTGCACTGGGAGTGTTCTAGCTTGGAGGTTTGGTGGTAAGGTCGCAGGTGTTCATTTTATTATGGTATTTTATATGACAGATGCAGGGACTTCCCTGGTGGCATAGTAGTTAAGAATCCGCCTGCCAATGCAGGGGACATGGGTTCAAGCCCTGGTCCAGGAAGATCCCACATGACGCAGAGCAACTAAGCCCGTGTGCCACAACTACTGAGCCTGCGCTCTAGAGCCCGCGAGCCACAACTACTGAGCCCATGTGCCACAACTACTGAAGCCCACGCGCCTAGAGCCCATGCTACGCAACAAGAGAAGCCACCACGATGAGAAGTCCGCACGCGGCAACAAAGAGTAGCCCCTGCTCACCTCAACTAGAGAAAGCCCGCACGCAGCAACGAAGACCCAACACAGCCAACAATAAGTAAATAAATTGATTAAAATAAGATAAAAAAAAGACAGATGCAACTTTTTGGTATCAAGTATTAAACTTTCTAAAGGTAAATGAGAGAGCATCACCCCTTGCTCAGTCTTAGAATGAAAGGCCGATCCCTTGCTGGACTGGCCTCACGGCCTCTCCTGACCTGGCAGCTAGCTCCTCTCCGACCGCCAGCCGCTCTCACCCTTGCTCTTGAGGCTCCAGCCACACAACGCTTTTTCTGACTTTGGCCTTTCCATGTGTTGTTCTTTCTCTTCCAAATACTCTTTGCATAGTTGGCTTCTTCTTAACTTTCATGCCTGAGCTTAAATCCAGCCATTTCAGAGAAGACTTGTCTAACCTCTCGATCCTGTGTACTAGGTAGGTCCATCCTGTTATTCCTAACCTCAGATTCCTATTTGTTTTCTTCATAGAACTCACGGCGATGTATAATTCTGCTCTCTCTCCTTCCCTCACCCCTCCTCCCTCCCTCCCTGGCTAGCCTGTAACTCTTTGAGCCCAGAGCTCATGTCTGTTCTGTTCTCCAGCACACCCCGCGTCTAACAGTACCTGCGGTGGCTCAGCAGGTATTTCCAAAAGGATGGATGTGCCTCACCTGGCGCTTACAGCGCACGCAGAAGGTCTGGTGACACTGGGGACATGTTGCCTCCAGCTGCTCACGCTCGTATATGAAGCCAAAGGAGCACTGTGGGTGCAAGAGCATAAAGCTGTCTGAGGCCTGACCAGGCACCACTCCCCACCTGTCCCTCCAGTCAGCAGCTCTGGGCAGGCCTCTGACCTGGGCACACCACAAGAACTTGGGATCTCGCATGAGCACGCCCTCAGTCAGCTTCTTGTGGAACAGCGCATAGGCATCTGGCTCTAGGCTCTCTCGAAGCTGGGAACAGGATGTGGAAGTGGCGGGTGGGCAAGGCTCCTGTTCAAAGCCCAGGGCACCCTGAGTCCTAGGGACTTCAGTACCTGGATATCGAGGGTGGAAAAGTAGCTGAGCAGCTGTGCATCATCGGTGAGGTCGGGGCGGCCACAGGCAGGGCACACCATGTCTGTGATGTGTTTCTCCTTCAAGGCAATGGTGAAGTGCTGGCGGAAGCAGTCGGGACAGATAGTGCACTCACAGGAGGTCAGAGCCTGCATCTGGTGGAGGGGAAGGGAAGGGAGGGAAGAGGGTAAGAAGCTACAGTTGCCAGCTGAGGGGGGGCAGTAGCCAGGTGTCTGCTATGAAACCGGGGTCTAATTAACAACTGGGCGGGCAACCTAAATGTCTGAAGACCTTCAGATGGAAAAAAACAGACAATGGTGAGACCTAAAGTAAACGGAAGAATGCCCTCTAAAGGCATCCACATTCAATTAAAAGCAAACACACAATAACTGAATCACTTTGCTGTACACCTGAAACTAACACAGCATTGTAGATCAACTATACTCCAGTAGAAAATAAAAATTTTTTAAAAGTTAATTTAAAAAGGAAAAAAAAGCCGGGGGTGGGGTGGGGGGTGGTGGTGGTGGTGGATTCCCTGGTGGTCCAGTGGGTAGGACTCCGCACTTTCACTGACGAGGGCCCGGGTTCAATCCCTCGTTGGGGAACTAAGATCCTGAAAGCTGTGTGGCGTGGCCA